ATTGTTGAGCTAATAGTGATAGATTATGAATAAAAAGGCTAAATTTCCCTGATGAGCACTTCTAAAGGGGGAACTAAATAAAAAGCGTGTCATTTATTAATTCTGTTGAATCCTTCTGGATCTGAAGAGTTGTTATATAAGGTCAGTTGCAATGGGAAAATGCTTGAAACAAGAATCTTGACATAGACTTGAGCACACAAACACATTGTGCTCTGTCCTTGAGAATGACACAATTTAATTTTGTGTATTAAATCAGTCTGGCATGATTTAATTTAGCTGTGAAATATGTACTTGGAAGTTTCAACTAAAACAGCAATGACATGAAAACTAAACAAAACAAATCAAAACCCAGGTACAGATTCAAGATAAAACAAAAGCTAAATTATGCCAGCCAGTGTGTGTGATATGAATTCAACATCACTGTACATAGAAACCTACATTATAATCGATATATTTTTTAATTACATGTGACCATGCCCATGCATACTATTATAAATACGTATAGGCCTACAGTATGTGGAAGCATATCACTTGCCAAGGCAAGTACACACTTATAAATAAATATATGAGGCTCTTCATGTTTCAGATGTTGAAATCCGGTGCTGTCAGGATAGAGCAAAGAAAAGCAACACTGTCTGCCTCGATAAAAAAGAAGAAGAAAAAGGAAACTTTTAGGTTCGGGAAATGACAGATTTTCTAAGAATTCAAATCAAATGAATTCAACGCTTTCCCCAGATGAGGTATCAGGATTCAAGATTTTACTGTGATGTATGTGTGCATGTGGATAGTTGGCATGTGTGTATCTGTGTGTTGATAGTAAAAGAAAAATCACTAGGGTGTTCATGCAAACAAAAGGCAGCTGTATTAGGGTGTTTTCAGTAGGGTGTAGGTCACACACACACACAACCACATATATTTTAAGAGGTCTTAAAAAATACTGGTATTTGATACGCACTGCTTTATTACTATTCAGTGAGAGCATGTTTTGAACAGATTTCTCTCTCCAGTTACATGCAAAAAATTCAAAAAAATTATATTTATATAAAAATGATACACTAAAGGGTAGTTTTCGTCCATAATCCTATCTATTAAAAATAAGTTTCCTATCCATTCAACCCTGCAGAGAAAGACTGCATGTACTTTTTATAAAGTATATGAGTATTCTGATTAAATAACATATTTGAATGTTTGAGCTCACATGTTTGGAACGAGTGTTGGGCGTGCTCAGTCCAGCCTTTATGGAGCAATGAAATCCTCACTGCGCAGAATAGCATTATCATGTTGTCATGGTGTGCATGAAACAAATACAGGCAGTTTTATGATAACTGAAATCCCCCACATGTCTCTGTCCTTCTCCAGACCTCCATATGAAGGCTCCAAAACATCTTGGAATGACACAATATCATCTGGTTTGTCGGATGTTTTACATAACAAATGAGTTGAAGTTGGTGTGACAGCAAACTGAGTGCTAGAATGACACACATTTAAACACACTTCCTATAAAAACAACACCCACCCATATAACCAGTGTTCCTAGAATGACTCTTATAATACATTATACAACTGATGATGCATTATATTTGGTAAGGCCCCGTCCACACTACTGCGCTTTCCTTTAAAAACGGAGACCTTTTTCTACGTTTACTTTGCACATCCCGTCCAGACTAAAACGGAAAAAACGAAGACCTAAAACGGAGAAGTTTAGAAACGCTGCAGCTCTGTTTCGCGTTTTGAATCTCCGGGGGGCGTTTTAGCGAAGATGGGACAAAACGGAGGACTTTAGAAACGATGACGCAGAGGCTCACGCTCGGCTCTATGATTGAGTGTCATCAGTCATGACATGTCCTTTCCTGATTCGTCAGCCACCCATCACATGACCCGTTTCCTGTTTACACCGGCACGCGCATGCCCAGTGTTGGTGAATGGTCACGTGATCCGCGTTTTCAGTCGTTTTAATGTGAATGGAAATCAATTCTAATACGCAGATAAAACGCTGGTGTGTAAATTCATGCACCGAACTGTGGCACCCGTACCGTTTCAGTTCAATACGAATACACGTACCGTTCCACCCCTAATCACGACGCATACGCAGGAGACGGACAATACTGAGCCGGCATTCTGACATATAACCCGGAATCGCTGCAATGTGTTTACAACATGAACAGCATCGGAGATTGACACAGAAGAGAAGAAATTGATGAATAAAATCAATATTTTTGGTGAGATTTGCACACAAAAAGTATTCTCGTTGCTTCATAAGTGGTTGAACCACTGTAATCACATGGACTATTTTAACCATGTCTTTACTACCTTTCTGGGACTTGAAAGTACAGGGTCAGAAAGCTCTTCGATTTCATCAAAAAAAATCTACATTTGTGTTCTAAAGATGAAAGAAGGTCTTACGGGTTTGGAACAGCATGATGGTGAGTAATTAATGACAGAAATTTCATTTTTGGGTGAACTAACCCTTTAAAGAGCCCCTATCAGAACTGTTCTAGTTCTCTTGGATCTGTCTTCAGCTTTTGACACCGTCGACCACCAGGTTTTGCTGAAAAGATTAAAGGATCAAGTAGGGCTGTCAGGGTCAGTTCTGCAGTGGTTTACCTCATATTTATCTGGGCGTAGTTTCAGTGTTACAGCTAACCAAATAAGGTCTGGGTCTGCAGACTTGCTCTGTGGAGTCCCTCAAGGCTCCGTTCTGGGCCCTGTTTTATTTTTGTTGTATTTGATCCCTTTGGGAAAGATCATACAAAGGTTCAATGATGTTTCTTTTCACCTATTTGTCGATGATATCCAACTTTACTGCTGCTTCAAGCCATCAGAGATCTGTAAGTTAAACTCCTTGCTTCTTTGTCTTGTGGAAATTAAAAAATGGCTAAGTGAAAACTCCCTGCAGCTAAATGCAGACAAGACAGAAACATTGATCATTGCCCCTGAGGATGTAATCCCTGGGATTAAACAATACTTGGGTGATCTAGGCCAGTCTGCTAAGCCAAGTCTTAGAAATTTGGGAGTTATCCTCGACAAAGTTAGTTTAGTTTAGTTTAGTTCCTTTATTGTCCACAAGTGGAAATTTGTCTTTGGCTTCACTATACATCATACACAAGGACACCAACACCAAAAAACATAAGGAAAAAATACATACATAAATTAAAAACAGTAACATTACCATGCAGCTATACTTAAGCTTACATATATCCACTCCTACTCGTATTTATGGCTTCTCAGCATTTAGAAAAAGACATGTCGTTAGTGCAGCACTGCAAGCAGCTGACGAGAAACTGCTTCTTTCAATTAAGGAAAATCTCGAAACTTAAAAATATGGTTTCAAGAAATGATTTGGAGCTTATCATTCATGCCTTTGTGTCTTCGCGTTTAGACTATTGTAATAGTCTATTTTTATGCCTAAACCAGAAGGAGCTCTCTCGACTGCAATTAGTCCAAAACTCTGCAGCCAGAATTTTAACACGTACAAATAGGAGGTCTCACATATCCCCAATCCTAAAAGAACTTCATTGGTTACCAGTGTCTTATAGGACAAATTTAAAAATTTTGGTTTTAGTTTTCAGAGCTTTACATGGCCAGGCTCCCCCTTATATTAGTGACCTAATTCAGCGTTATGCCCCTGTACGTGCTCTGAGGTCTGTGGATCAGAACCTGCTGACGGTTCCACGCACTCGCGACCGTACTAGAGGTGACCGATCTTTTCAGGCAGTTGCCCCCAGGTTGTGGAATGACCTTCCACCGTCTATGCGCTGCGCTCCTCTGATTCTGTTGATGTGTTTAAATGCAGCCTTAAGACACATTTATTTGTTCAGGCTTTCAATTAGCTACCTGTGGGTTGATATGATCATGTACTGTCTATGTTTTTATTGTGTGTATTTTATGATATAAATTGTTTTTGTTGTAAAGCACTTTGTGGCCCTATACCTGTGAAAGGTGCTATATAAATAAACTTTTACTTACTAACTTACTTACTATCATGGATTTTTTAAATGACTGTTCATATGGTGTGGAATAAGGGAATGAAAACATCCTGCAAAGATTTATATCTGAAAGTGCACCGTATATAAAGTTATTGTCTTTCAAAAGTGAGAGTCGACTCTGAGTCTATGAAATGAATTGTTTTTGAAACGAGTCATTAGCTGTTACATCGTGACGTAGAGAGGGCATTGGCCGTGCCAAGTTACTGCGCGCACAGACGGAAGTGTAAAATTGAAGTCTACACATTCAAATACTTCATCATAACATCGTGTCGAGAATACGCTGTGTTCTACAATGCAAAGATAGTTCAGCCACTTTGTTTTCATTTACCAGGGACGAGCATGTGAAGAATCGGTGGTTAATCTGTGTTTTAAAAACTTAAAAATGACAGTTATTTAAAAGACAAAGATTAATGGGTAAGGCCAAAGAAAAAATTAGAGCATCAACTGTAATTTGACTAGTAGCGTGTAGTAACTGAACTGACTGTCGCTCTGAGGTAAGAATAAATGTGTTAAACTTTATTAAGAAGCTCACATTGTCTGAACCCTGAGGTCACCTAGCAACCACTGTCTGTGTTCACAACATCATCAAGCTGAAAACAGCCGGTGCTGGGAGAAATTGTCTTGCGCATACATAAGCACACATGCAAACACACATGCACTGACAGACAACCCACAGTCGTCCATGTGTTTGGCTTAATTTTAGCTATTTTGGATGAAATCAGATTCCAAACAGATGAAACATAGTCACCTAAATAAACTTCCTCTCTCCTCTATGGTTCTGGTACAGCGCTGTCAGAACAACAGTATATGCCCCACCCTCCCTGTTCATGGAGAATGATTGAGTTTGCTGAAGTGCTGCACAATAAAACACCTGTTATGTTTTTTGTTATTTGTTTTGTGTTCAGTTTCTATTACATGTGCATTCAAAGGGATAAAAGCCCTTATGTAACTGTCTGAAAATTGTCACACAATAACAGAATATAAGAATAGAGTGGGTTGTGACCGATGTGTTACCTTTGCAAACAAAGCACTTGATGTGGAAGTGATTATTTTGCACGCGGAGCACCTCGCCTTTGCAGGGCTTGCCACAGTTTTGACACGGGACGGGGCCGCTCTGCCGCTGTACCTTCTGCTGCTCCAGGGGACTGTGGACAGCCTGCTGGTGAAACGCTGTGGAGACACAATGAGAAAACCGGTTTTAGTTCAATATCCTCACATAAAGCACTAACTGACAGGTATAGAAAAGTATAAGACTTATTCAACAGCCCATACTGATCTAACCTGACCGTATTAATCGGAATACTGGGGGAAACATGTCCTTAAATGTCTATGGGGGACATTAGTAAAACTAACAGATATAGTAAGAGTTTTGTGCTAGTATACTATTCCAAATTCAGATAATTGACTAAATTTAAGTTGAAATAGTTGGAAATTTGAAAGGGGTCATGACATGACATCAAATGTGCCTTCACTACACATAAGAAGTCTTTGTACCATTAAAACATCCTGAAAGTTTCATAGCTTAATATGTGGCGGCAGTGATCAGGTGTAGGCCTTTACTTTTGTTTTGTATTTGTTTGTTTTATGATTATTAAAATGTGTTGCACGTTTGCCGGTTACCGCGTCCTCCTTCCCACAACAACATACTGTTGTCTAACAACTGTTGTTAGAGCACTGTCAATTATACAATCTGCCGTCTCAGTAAAAAATAAATGTACCAAATTGACACAACATGCCATTTTTTTTTAATGTAAAATCCAAATAGAGGCAAAAAGATATGCTGTAGAACCAGGCAGATAGAAAAAAACTAAATAATAAATAATATATAGAAATAATATTAATACTAGTAGTATTAATAATATGAATTTCAATGAAAATAAATATTGTTAAAAATGTTATTTATACCATGGTTCTTTAAAAGCATGGTTCTTTATTACAAACCGAATAACCCTAATTTGGTACTGTTTAGAACCATTTTTCTTAAGAGTGTACAAGTAATTAACACTCAGCTTTAAAAATAGAGTTGAATCTCGTATAACAGTTAAGGATGAGTTTGCGGTATGGATGACGCCAGTGCTCTGCTCTCCTTTGTGAATTTTTAAGCTGTCGTTTGAGCCTGTTTGGCACCCAATCTTCACACCTACTCCATTACAAAGGTGTGTAATCTCAAACAAACACTTTATAATAGTCCAAGACACAGCCAGAGAAAGACCTTCAACCTCTTTTTATTAAAAGGGCGTGGAGCAAAACTGGTTCTGTTGGACATTCTGAAGTAGGATTTTCAAAACAGGTGTTCACTTTGTAAAGTCTAGTATAAGGGATAAAACAGCTAGAGAAATGTGTTATTGCGTGTTCTCAAAGGTGAGAACCTGTATTTGTCCATTAATCATTGAGCAGTTTCGTTTAGAGAAGAGCTGCAGGTTTTGCACACTTAATAGACTGGCTGGCCCTTTGACACTAATTAGATAAGTACTTTGGGAGGAAACTACAGCAGTTATTTTGACTGCATTTGTCATGTCATGGGGAAAGACAACCCATGTGCCAAGTCTGTGTGACTTGCCATTGGCAAACAATTTTACAATGTGACATATTTCAGTGAAAAGATATCAGAGTAGGACTTTCATCCATTTCATTCATCATACTGTAGAAATTTGTTGGATGACGGAAAGTGGGCACTAAACTCTTTTGTAAAACTTTTTTTTTTCTAAAACAATGCCTAAAAATCTATTTAGCTGTTGGTTAACATTATCCAATAGCCTGCATGGCCAATAACAACAGAAGAAAGGGGTAAGTTATTACATAGGTGAGACATTCCTCGAAACTCTCCAACAAGTCAGATGAAGTCCACTGAACCGGCCAGGTTAATTTAAGAATAAGTATTAATCATTTAAAATGGCTGATGACAGAGCAGAAACAGGCTGGTTAATGTGTAAATTTCACTTGAACCAGTCATCTTCCAGTTGGCACAGCATTTCATTAATACTTGACGCAAATACGCTCTGTAACCTCCACTACATCAACATTTATAGATCCTAAGAGAGACTCTTGTGCTGCTGAGCCTCAGAAACAGCACTCTGGAAATGTTTAAAGACCCCTTTAAAGCTAAAGCTATTTCCTGCTTTCACAGATCAGGTAGAGTTGTTAAACAACAGTGGGAATTTACGATAATCCAACACAACAGCAAGCAAGTTGATAGTATATGGTAGTATAATGATTTACATGAATTGATCATTTGAGGTTACAGTCAAATGAACACTGACTGAGTTTTCATAAACAGTTCTACAGGTGTTTAGCAGAAGAAGTTATGTTTTCAATAAAGAAAAGCAAGCATGAAGGCCCGTAAACCATAAAGAGGTCAATCTATTTAATGAATGCCAGGATCATTCCAGCTACTACAGGAAAAACAGAGACCCATGAAGACAGGAATGACAAACTTGATTCTCGACCAGAATAAAATTAAAAATGGTTTTCGTTAATTGAAGTAAAACTTAAATAAAATAAAATATAAATATTAGATGAAAAACTTAAAATGAAAATTAAAAATGTTGCTTGGACAATTAAGTGAAATAAGTTTAAGCTGAAGTACTAAAAGTACTAAAATTACTAAAATTAATACTGAAATAAACATTATTAAAGCTAAATTTATTTTTTAATTTTTTTACAAAAGCAAAAAAAAAAAACTAATATTAAAATGAAAAATGAAAATATAAAAACAAAGCTAATTCATAATATTCATTAATACTAGTAGTTGTAAAATAATGCTAAAATAGCGCTAGGTAAGGCAACAATTTCACACCTTTTTAAAGGGAGTTAAATGTTATGGCAACAAACAGCCAATCAAAAACATCAGCCTATCAAATTTTATATCTTGCACTGCAGCATAACACGAGTTATAAAATAACTTCATTCTTCAAATATGTGCATGCAGAAGCTGTAAGTCATGAGATGAGGTTCACATTTTCTGCATCACCTTCACATCATTCACTCCCACTGAAATGTACAAGTTCATGAAATCATATTAAAACGGTCTCAAAGGTTACCTCATTAAACATTCAAGAGCTTTCTACCTCCCAGAACATGGTGTGTTTCAATTTCCGCATTTGAGGAAAATAAGTTAAAGGGATACTCCACTTTTTTGGGAAATAGGCTCATTTTAGCACTCCCGGAGAGTTAAACAGTTGGGTTTTACCGTTTTTGTATGTATTCAGCCGATTTTTTGATATTTAGAAGAATATCAGTAACTAGACAGTTTCTGGTCTCATTGACTTCCATAGTATATTTTTTTCCTACTATGGAAGTCAATGACACCAGAAACTGTCTGGTTACTGATATTCTTCTAAATATCAGAAAATCGGCTGAATGGATTTGAAAACGGTAAAACTCAACTGTTTAACTCTGGGGGAGTGCTAAAATGAGCCTATTTCCAAAAAAAGTGGAGTATCCCTTTAAACATTTTGAATGGTTTCTGAAAACACGAATGATGAAGACGTTGTCGACAAGTAAATTATTTTGAAGAATGTTTTTGTTTTGGTCCAAACAATCGACTTTCATTCTATGTCCACACACAAAGAAACACTCAGACATTTTTCTAAATACTTTCTTCTTTGTTCTGCAGAATAAAGCAAGGGTGCACAATTACTACAGCTTTAAAGTGACGACATCTGTCAAGTGTGAAAAGCCCATACACTGTATGTGTATAAAGAGGATCATAGTGCCAGCCAGCACAAGACTTCAATAAACAAGCAAAACCACATCACAATAAAAGAGAAAACAGTGAATGAATATTATAGGCCTAACCACATCTTCTCTGATAAGAATTCGATAAGTCAGGGTGGATCACTATCCATTTCTCATGAAGTACAGTACAAAAACAACCAGAGTTTTCTAAATCTCAAGATTACTTTCAACCTGAGCCAAAGATCTTTGTTTGAAGGAATACCTAGGCACTATCATATCCTCCTCTTCTGTTGTGCACATCACATGTCATCAAAACCTCTGGAAGCACAACCAGCTAAAGGTCAGCGTAAGGGAGGAGTTTGTTCTACGAGTCCCTAAACACACATACACACACACACACCATACTTTCACAGACTTGCTCTTTTACACACAGAGAGAGAGTCATCCATCTTTAAGCAGGTTCTCCATAAATAGAGCATCTACTCAACCCGTGGGGATTCCATCATGACCTGCTACATTCTGCTCGAGGTCCATATGCATGGCTTACATGTCTGTGTGTTTGAAGGGCTCGGATTTCCACCGCAGAATCCCTCTGCCACTCACTTAGCCAAAAATAACTCATCGTTTGCCTTATTTGCAAATGTAATTGTGGCTTTTGGGGTTAGATTATACAATAGAAAGCTTTTGAATGCTAGAATTAATATTGCACTGCAGCATAATTTAAATTCCAGTATAGTATGTCTATAGTTAGATCTCCATTCTTCAAAGATCAAACTGTGCATGTCGATCGAAGCTGTTTCCACTAAGTCTTGAAAGGAAGTTAATACTTTCTGCATCATTTTCATCTTATTCACTCCCACTGTACAGGTTCATGAAATCAAATCCCATCTTGACCTCAATATGACCTAATGGTCAAAGATCCATTTTGGTGATTCTTAAATCATCAAAATGTAATGAGTCTAAAATGTCCAAAGGTTATAGGCAGGGCACGTATCCAGACAGCAAGAAAGATATATACAGAGAGAAAAGTGAGACGAGAAATATAGTTAAAGTAAAGAAAAATAGATAAAGATGACAGCAAAGGTAAAATAAAATTAAATCCCTAACAACAGAAATATTGTACAAAACAACAAATGTCATAAAAATAATTCCACAGACAAGTACTGTGCATCATATGCAGCTATACACTCACTTTATATTTAAGTTATTTAACAATTGTCAGACAACTGAGTAAAACCAAGTAGCTCGCTGTGCACTGGTGAGGAAAAATCCAGAATTTGAAGAAGTACCAGCAAAATTTCAAAAGATACTTAAATCTACAATAAACTTAAATCACTAGTTCATTCCTTGCAGCTGTGTGTCTGTGTGTGTGTGTGTGTGTGTGTGTGTGTGAGGATGATCCTCTGACATGGCAGGATGATTAAAGGATTTTAAAGCAAATAACAAGCTTTTAAGTATGGAGTGCCCATTTAACCCAACAAGAGTTAACTCCATTTTAGCAGCTTTCTGCCTGGAAGGACTACAACAGAAACCACGGTAATGGATTTTAAGCACTTAATCTAAGTCAAAAATCAAGATAAACATCCAAGACTTAATTCCACAGATTATATTTGTGCACTTATGTTTATTGATCTCCCAATTTCGCAAGGACACATGAAACAAAAGTCTGAGGCACCATTAAATATAGCAAGAATCAAACTTTAGAAATCCAGTTAAAATGTGCAAAGAAAACAACTACCTGTCATATTTCATTTCTCCAGCTTTTTTCCAGAGCTGTTTAGTGAAGAGGCGGAGCAGAGGAAGAGAGTTCAGCACTACGGGTATATCTGCAGCTGCTGAGACTCTTCCAACAGTTATATCATGATTCGGATGTGTTCACCCTTGTGAAAGTGACAGACTTACCCAGCAGTTAAGAGTAGTTGTTTTGTAATCTCAAAGTGTGCAGTGCCATACTGCATTTCTGTTTCTGTGATGGCCACACACATACATCCTTTTACATGCTGCAAATAGTTATAGACTGATATACTAACATGGCTTTGAATTAAACGTTATTTTTGGCCATTTTAGATTATCGGCTTAAACGGATAAGTGTACCTGTTTCTCAGTTACAAAGTCAGCCTTGTCACTGCATGCACAGTTCCTTATTGGACAAAGAAAAGGAAGAAACCTTTTTATTTCGGGTGTGTCATGAACGCATCTCTTGCCAAAATCGGGGCTGACTTGTAACCATCTCAACTCCTATCCAAATCAAATTCATCAATCATTACAACTTGGGGACTGCAGATGGAAACTAGCTTAAGCTAAATCTGGTGCAAAGCATCTTTAATTAATGTTTTTTTTGCACATTATCCCTGTTGAAAATAAATAAATAAATAAATAAGAATTTTTGCACACTGACAATTTTAATGACCTCATTAAAAACCAATGAACTGCCTGCTTTCTTGTATGGATATCATTGTAGTGTCTAAACATGACAATAAAAATAAAACCATGGCTTTAAGACATGCAAACCTCTAATAACAATCAAGTGCTCTTTAATTGCCTCTCAGAAAATAACTGTGTGTCAGCAGAGCATGTCAGTATGTCTTTCCCCTCCCCTATATTCTCTCTCTCTCACACACACACACACACACACAAGCAAAAACATCTCTAGACTGCTGTCCAAGGAGGACAGATTGCATCTGAGCTCTTGGAGTGCAACAGCATGTCCTTCGCCAAATACATGCATATTATCTAAGTGGGCTGTTGTTATTGTTATTTTTTTAATAACCCTCTAAATAAACCTAATAAATAAATAAAGTTAGATTGCAAATATATATATATTTTTTTTTTCAGAGCGTATGTTACATACATACACACACACACACTGATTACCATTTGCTAACAGTCACAAAACGCATTATGAATGAAAACATTTCTGAAAATGTCAATTAAAATTCAACGTCATATACTGTAGGTTAATGATGATAAACAGACTGAATATCATAATAGTAGAATATGCTATTATGCTTCGATATTACAACAATGAAGTCGTCATATAACATCAATGACACAGGTTCCACTGACAAAGAGGCGCAACACCCATCGAAAATAAAAACATGGGCTAACCAGAGCGTCAAAGCGCAACATACCTTTTTCTTCGGGCATCTCGCGTAATCACGCCTATTCTGTAAGTAAGTGAATGAGACTGCTGTCTGAATAAATATCCGACAGTATTTCAGTGCAGCACAGCGGTGTGGTTCATGTTAATGCTGAGCTGTTCTCACGTCGCGAGCACCGGAGAAATGCGCTTCAGACACAGCGCGCGACACTACAGGAATGAACGCAGGTCATATGATTCCCGCCTGCCTGACAGGACAGCACACACACTCACGAGCTATTGAAGCAATACATTATAAATAGAAGCTTCTCGGTCAAAAACATGACACCCCTTCCCAAATATCTGAGGGCGTTCACCGTGTGTTCTCAGTGTGAGGTAAAGCCACGCATTCAGCCCAGTTGGGAAAACAGTATGGAACAACCTGATAACAACATGAGATATGCTGCTAAACTCAACTTTCATTAAGCATTTTCAAAACCATGCATGAGAATGGACCGAAGTACAGTGTGTGCACTATACATATAAGTTTACATATTTATATAGGCTTAATATATTTAGTCAATGACTGGACTTTTGTGGTGACAACAACCTACAGCGATGAGTTCAATGCACTTAAGAGTAAAGAAAATAAAAAAAATATGGAATATGTTTAAACTATGAAAACTATCTTCAAATAAATATGAATATATAAGACAAGATATTGTGACAAGTTACAAGGACGGACACAAAGATGGGCTATTGTAAAACTAATAATAATGACAAATATGTTTTTTACAATGTCCCAAATAACAATAGCCTATCAAAACGACCAACTGCATCCACTGGCATTTGATGTTTACAGCCTTTGCTATCCCACAATGCCACATTCTGCCCTACCTGACTCAGTAAGAATCCTCACTTTGTGACTTTTATTACTACATATCTTTGCAAATGAGATCATATCTTATTATTATAGCCTATAGTTGTGTTGAATCCACTTTTCTTTGGAAAAGGACTGTTGGATTGTGATGGATTAGATGCCTATAACAACAGTTATGATATCTGAGATCATCAGTGCTCCATCAGCAAGACCACACTTGAATGTCCTGCTCTAATGAAAGTTCTGAAATATGAACAGAGTCACGACAGGCATTTATGAACCGCAGAACTTTTCACACACCCGGTCCGTTTAATTAACGAATTTATGAGGTCAGAGGGGCGCAAATCTTTTCCAGTTCAGAAGAGTCCTCACTCACACTCCAGATCTGTCTCTATACACAGTTCACTCTTTGATGTCTAATCACGAAGCATGAGTCAATGTCATACTGCTATCTCACTCTCTCACATGTCCTCTATAAGTCTTGAATAATGATCAGGCTTGTGAACAGCCTGCTAGCACCTGTCAGGGGGTTTTGTAAAAAAAAGGCAGGGGCCATTCCAATTTCCAGCACTTTCGCACATTAGTGCAAACTTTTTTTCTCCTTTTCATGGACATTAGAAAGTTGAAGAGTCACAATAAATCAAAGACCAAACAAGTAATGAATTATGTTATTTATTTTGACTGTGCCAATTTGCCTTCAGTTTCTGTACTCGCTGTTAAAAATGATTGTTTAGACACTGCTGAAAATCCAGGCTGGCAATCCATGCGGAAAAAAATAATAAAAGAGGCATTGTCCTAAGGTAAAAGATGGGAAAAGAGAAAAAAGGAGTGAGGGAGAGCCAGCCAAGCTGGCTTTCATTCATTTCCTTTGAAGGATTCGCAAAAATAGAGAACATGTGCCTGACAAATCTAACTGCTCATTTTTCAGTCCATCGAAGTTATTCATTTTTAAAGTTGACACACCGGGGGCATTTTATTCACGTAATGGCATTCTTTCACAATTATGCTTGCAAACATTATTGGATATTTTCAGGCTATTCATCAACTGGATCAATAGAGACAGCAAGATAGTCGGAGGTGGAAAGGTGGCATAAACCTATTAAGTTGTTGAAGGATGCCCAACTATACAGACCTCTTCTGGACAAATTTACATAACAGAAAATGTACATTTTTTTAAGTATCTTCAGAACATTTTCTCAAGTTACTCCCAACACCGTATTATTATACTGACTAAAATTTAGATCTATAAATGGGCCAGAAAACAAACACAACACACTAAAATAAAACAAAACATGTACAGTATACCTAATTTCTATAGAGCAATTTTATAGAGGAAATAAACTATTTAAAATAATGAAGAAAAACATTTCTTAAATTGAAATACTGCAATTAAACTTTCACTTTACACATACTTAAATCGAATGTATGCAATTAACCAACATTTGTGGTGTATGCTGATTTAAATCACACTAAATAGACATGTAAAAACTTTAATCATCTAACCCTTTTTTGGGGTGCTGAAGTAAGTTCATGTTGACAACGTTGCGTTGCACAACATGAATATAATGCAGTTTAGAGACGGTATAAAACAAAAATTCATTTTTAGCCATCACTGAAAAAATCCAAAACATCTACACGTTTTTGCATTTGATGCAAGTAGATTAAAAAAGTGGCCAGTAACAACCATGCATGCGAGTTCATCATTTATGCTGTGCATCGGAACAATCAAAATAATGAAAATTGTGAAAGGAGAGGAGAGTGAAGAGGTTTGCTTGTGTCATGTAAACATCTTACTGCAATTAAGTTCGTACTCTGATTATTGGAAATAATCACATTACTGGTGCACATAAACATATTCATTGTCTGTGGGTGACATTGTACAGAGAGCTGACAAAGTACAGCCTGCCCTGCACTTTATCAGGATATGCAAGAAAATAACACACATACACACACTGCCAGTGTCAAAAAAAGATCAAATTCTCTCTACACTTTGATCTCAATTTAAAATCCTTTAGAATTTTTACTTCATTCTAGCCTATCATTTTTGCCCGATTTAATGGAGAGTAATAGGGGCCACAGAAAGAGAGAGAGAGAGAGAACAGTGGTGGGGATGACCTCTGCTTACTCCAACTCAGACACCCTTAAGATTTAAGTTATGAATAATTTACTGCAGTCCTGTACGGTCTCCATGCACGAAACCCGAGACTCCTCTAAAGCACAGCAGCGGTGCTCAGGTGTCAAATCTCAACAACACATGCAGCTATATGGCTGAGAACATACATTCGGTTATGGAAATCTACGAAGACAACTGTAACTAAGCCATTCTGTAAAACTGCAGAAAAGAAAATGGTCAGTTGTGATTAAAACCAAGATTATTGCAGTACGTTTTAAAAGAAAACATGAGTATTTCTACTTTGGAATTTCGTGTTTAATTCAAATGTTCCTTTACCGTTTCTTAGAAATTTCTGGTAAGCTTCACAAATAATTACAGAGTGAAAACTATTTCAAAGCAAATCCTACAACAACGTTTTTTTTTCACTGTATAACTACACTGAAAAGACAGATATATATATATATATATATATATATATATATATATATATATATATATGTGTGTGTGTGTGTGTGTGTGTGTGTCTTACTTGAAATAAGACTTAAAAAATAAGACTTAAAATTGTCACAACAGAAATATTAAATGCACATCGTAGTAGCCCTAAGATGCCATGTTTATCTTTTACAGCCAATTTGAGCTCAAACTGCATGGTTAATTAGCAGAAGTCTTTTCTAGTTCTCAATTGTTTGACCAACGGATGTTCAAGATGTTTTAGGAAACAGTAATGACTATTCTTCATCAATGGATCATACTATTGTAGCAAAGCAGACTATAGGCTGGACTATCTGTTTGCAAAACTAATGGCAGATAGGGGAGTGAATATAACCTGTCTGCAACAATCATTATTTTAGCAAAAATGTATAACATTATTCAAAATCTATTGTATTACTACTCTACAAATTTATCACTGCAGTTTTTCTAGGATTAACCAGAAACAAAATTTAACCAAAACAGATTAAAAAATCCTAGAAAAGCCCGTCATTTCTGTTATTTTTTGCAGATTTACAGCTTCTGAGCTGAGAACAATGACTGGCAGTAAATCCAGACCTGGTTAATCCAGTTTAGCACAAGGATGCTACATTCTGGATGTGTCCCCCATAACCTCAGCACTTTTGGTTTCCACGGCAGGATGTGAGGACTGATGGTAAGAGAATCATCACACTCTGCTGTTACATTCCCTTCAGAGTCAAATGTACATCACAATAATATACACACACACCAGGATCAGAAATGAAATGAAGGGCTTGGGGAAAAATAAAATGCCACCAAAATGAACAAAAATCCCTAAAATCTGTGCATCCATATAAACTGGAACATTGTTTTAAAATCTGCAAAAAAGAACCAAAAGGCCAATTCAAAAACCCTGTACAGCACAAAACAGTTCTGAATAACAAGATGGCTTTATTGCTATTTGCTAAAGCAAAGGAGCTGCAAACAACCATTATTTTTAAGATCTGGTGCTTGAGAGGTCATCTTTGTCTGATCTGATTAGACAAAGATGTATTTAGAGATATTTCAAAGTGTGCGAAATGAAAGATTACACAAAGATTATTGTGGTTTGGCATGGTTTTAGTATCTCATGAACAAGCTGGCAACATATTTTGATGAAACCAGACGAATCTCCATCTGGGGTGTCATGCAAAACTGTTCATGAACACTGACTCAGCAGTACTTTATTCAGCAGAGCTTCATTCCTAAATATAACGAAAATGTCATCATATGAGTGTCATCACCATTGTGCATGTGCAGTGGCTATGGTACAATAATAAAACATGTGAAAACAAAGCAACCCATATCTGTTATTTAGAGTTTTTGAAGAAATTTAAACAGAATATACACATACGTCACCATTATGGTAGCAGGTCATCTCTGGAAAGTTTGCCTTTAGGTTATGATGGGTAAACAGAAGGCTATTTTGTATGAAAGCACAAATAACTGGTCTTATTAACAAATACAGCGCTTACCTTTGTGTAAAAAGTAAGCTCAAAGCAAATATTAAAACATTAGCACATATCGAATGCTTCACTGTGGAAAGGGTTTGTTTAAAAAAAAAAAACAGTTTATAATAAACCCTCTTCCAATAATGCCCATATAAATACATGCACATTCACTTACTGGTATGTATTATTTTCATTTAGTTATTATACAAAAGTCAATTTACACAAAGGAAATACAAGTAGTTTTGTACCAAAAAAAGTGCATTTCAAAGTGTGTATTATGCATTATGTGAACATGGCATTTGCAGGAAGGGATGTCCAAAATAATAAGTAATTAATTACAGTCTAACATTACTGCAAATCAAATGACATATGGCATACGATAAGGAAAGAGTTATGCTGTATTAAATACAACAGATACTGTTCTTGAAAAGCCCCTTCAAACACCTGCTGATGATGAAACAGCATTCTCCCAGCATGCCAAGAGTCAATTAACAAACCAGCAGGGTTCATGCAGAAGGCAAGGGTGTATATTTCAAACACTTTTTAATACATATGATATCCAATTTGTGTCTCCTTCCTGATTTCTGCAGGTCAGAGCGGCACCTTAAATAGCCGAAAACGACTTCCACTTCATGTGAAAAATGAGCCTTCTTATTTAAACCCTACCGTAGTGTTTGATGAATAAACTGGAGGCCATTCCTCTCACAGTCAGTCCCAACAAAACCAGGACAAGGAAAATGTTGCAGGCCCACTCTAGATTTCAGGGCTAATTACTAGTGTCTCTTCCTCAGGGACTAACTGTACAACAGTGATATCAGTTATTTCTCTGTTTGCTTCCAACAGCTGTAAAATCCCACATTCAGTCTGCTCAGCTCCTCAAAGAGCCAACATCCACAATCTGTCTAATTGCAAACAAATACCTTCCAAAAAGGAAAGGATTTAAAAACAAACATCTAAACACTACATCATATTTTCCATTTCAAAATATATGACTCAAAACATTAATAAGTCCAATTAAATTTAGACTTAAATTTCCAAATCTGAAAGATTTTTCAGACCGTATTTGACAAATGGTTCATACAACATATTTTGCACTTACACAATGAGAACAAGACCTATAAATCAGGTTATAACCTCACCTCGGATGCATCAGTTTGATTCTGTAAAAGTGGTTTGATGTTGCATGATCACTAGACCGCGAAGTACAGTCTGATTATTATTTCCTCCTTTATCTGATGCTGGTTTGAGTGGCACACACACATTTGTTTAGTGAAGTTCAAAATAGACTTGTTTATCGTTAAGACCAAGAATTTAATGTAATGAAAATGACCGATTTAATTCAGTCATGCTCAATTAAATGATCACTCAAATGTTGCCATGAAAACACTCAGCTTGTATGATAAATTTACTCATTATAGAAAGTCTAAATTTTATATTTTAGAAAACTTAACAGGGGCAATAGACTAGAAGCACAGATATCACTCCATAAATCACATTCCAACTTTTCCACTTTGAACATGTGCCAACCAGTCTTTTGTGCTGTGAATTTCTGCTTTATTTCAATAATAAAAATAAAGTGTTGGTACAGAACTTATGAAAATAATTTCTGTTCTGAACCAACCGCAGTTGAGAAGTGCTGCTCATGATGTACAGTAGCTTCACTCCAAAGTCACTCCCATTATGATTTAATGCTCAGCTATTATATCAATCTGTTTCACATGAGTTGAATTTTTCAGGCACATCATGCTGACCTGAAAATAAGGCTATACAGAATGTATGATTAACCAAATTACACTAAAAATCAATATGCTTTATCTAACCAAAAAAAAAAAATTGTGGCAACAGATTACAAGCAATATAATTAATTAAATTTAACAAATTAGAATTGAGTAATAATTAATCAAATGAATTCCTTAAAAGTTAACCATGTAAAAGGAGTAAAACTTACAACAACAACAAACAAACATTTAAGTCACCATTATGGTGATTGGTGTTTGTTTCAAAATTATGGTTTTCTCCTTCAGTGATTCTGCTTGTTAACATCAGGTGTCTTCAATGTTGGCAATATAGTTCTTAATCTCTTATTCAGATATTTTTGTTAAATTTTTGGGTGTAAACTTTACTCATTTTAAACGGTTAACTTTTAGGGAATTAATTTGATTAATTATTACTTAATTCTAATTTGTTAATTTTAATTATTAATATTGCTTGTAATCTGCTGCCACAATTTTATTGATTAGATAAAGCATATTCATGTTTACAGTATACACATAATGTGTTTCAAATGTAGGCTACTTTCAACAATTCTAAAGATAAATAATAAAGCTTTGGTCAACAAAATTGCATTTAATTAGCAACCTCTTCATGCACAGGTAAGAACATGGGTATAATGTTGCAGAACATCATCTCCACATAAAAATTGCACTTGCTGCAACAGTAATATCGTATTGATTAAAGTCAGAGGTATTGACCACCTTGACAGCAAAATCAACAAATACCCGAGATCTTGTGGATTATCCCAATTACCAGAAGTTCTGCTCAACACCCTCACTGTTAACTTAAACTACCAAATAGTGAATGACAGTAGGCCTACTGTAGCTCTATTATTACATTACTGTCAAAGTAACGTGCTATGTCAAGTTAATGAGCTTCCAAAATGACCTAAAAAAAAAATCCATGGACAAAATCCAAGAAAATGTCACTAAAATATTATAAAAGCACGTTTTAGACTTTACAAAAATGTTATTTTTTTATTTTATATAATTATAGATAACGAGAGGCAAATTTCTCCAAATAAATAAAAACGCCAAATACAAAACAAATCCCTTATAAATAAAAAAATAAATGTATTATAGTTCTTACAAACTTAAGAGGTTCGTTGTCACTAGCTGCAAAACACAAAGATGGTGTTTCGGCCTTAGTAAACATCACAATTAAACGCAAAGAGACAACCAAAGTAAATACACCTTGGACAGCAGCACATTACGCATTTCGTACAAACAAGGCAGCACTGCAACATAATGAGCGCTAGTGGGTGGGTGGATCCACCAGACTACACCGCGTCCACACACACAGGCAAATCTCCGGGCTTTTAGTAAGGGGATTAGTATCCGTGATGCGCTCCCAACACACTCACCGGTGCTCATTGTTATCCGCAGACCTTTTCGGTGTCCAATGTCATGTAGGCTATATCTCTAGATCCTCATTAAAGCTGAGCAGTCAGCGCGCCGTACATTTTTTTCACAAGTGCACGAGCCAACGTAAAAAGTATTAAAAAGATACGACTTAAGCTCTTCGCACCTGCGACAGAGGAAAAGTCGTTGCTATATATTCTGTCGAATCAGTGATAAACGTAGTGCGCAGCGTTGCGGCCGCATGCACGAGCAGGGTGTTGCCGTATGGCTGTGATGCGCTCGTGCGTAGGCTATTTGCCTCAGCACCATTCCTGCACGAGACGCACTGTGGCAGTTACGTGTAAAGACGGAGGGCGTATGGGAAATGGAGTTTATGTACGCGGATTCAGATTATCAGAAGAAACAACGGGATGAACTACAGCAAAATACCATTAATATTAAATCAATGTGAAATATTAATGTCAGTGAAAAAGAGGGGCTACTGTAATAGCCACCATTTGTCAAAACGCAAACAGTGTGGAGTGACCTGTGCACAAATGACAGTGATGCGATGCTTTCAAAGCTATATGGATATTTATATGAAATTGAAAAAAGGTAAATTGATCAAGTTATTACATGCATAAAATTACATTTAAATGGCTGTATACTAAGTGTCATTTTATAATTGAGAGGCTACTATTAAAAGGCTGATAGTTAAATAAATTCAATTAAATTTTAATTTTGGTTTGTTATTTTAGTAGGATATATATAAAATTAAACGCAACACTTTTGTTTTTGCCCCCATTTTTCATGAGCTGAACTCAAAGATCTAAGTCAAGACTTTTTTTTTTAAGTTTACTATAAATTACTGAGCAATTTCACAACAGGACAATAAGCACAAGCAAACTAACACCATCTAGTATCAACCATTTATGGCATCCTCAATCAGTCACATTTGCATACCAGACAAAATAAGCAAATCACTTTATTGCATCTCATTACAATAGTTTATTTATAGATTTACATTTACACATAATAAAACACTGGATCCAACTGATCGGATTAAAACTCATCAGCATGTGTTATTGAGCCCCCTTTTTTTACAAAGATAGTCCATAAGGTCCTGCAATAAAGAGGTCAAACGTCTGGTTATGCTAAATTTCCAGTGTTTCTTTAAGCAACCCCTTAAAATTACAACGTTTTTAAATGGTTTACCTTGATCTTTCGCATCTGATCTACAGCCGCATCGTCGAGCAACTCAACACTGATGTCATCTTTATTGTCCTCAGAAAGTAGCAGTGTCTTAAATGCAGAAAAGTACCATTGTTGAAAGCTATAATAAGCAAAAACTTTGCAACAGTTCGTACATACACTCACTTCTCCATGGGAAGTTACTATTGTGGCTGTAGCCATCATTTCATCACCAACAGAGCGACTTGCTTGTCTTTTGTCAAAAGAAAAGCAGCATTTTTATTGAAAATTCACCTGAAAAAAATACACTGGTACAACCATGCAAGAAAGGAAACTTTACCTAAATTTACCAAACGCTTGGTCACTGAGATTGACAACCCGTCCTTGGGTTCTTTTTCCATTGATAGTTGAGAGAGACCTGTCAGTGAGAGCAAAGAGAAATCCAAATGTGAGCTATCCGCTATATTTGACCATTAGGAATGTTCCATTGACATTTTAACCCTCTGCTATTCCTCACTTAGAATTCAGTCAGGAATAAAGACAATAAACTTACTTTTTTTAAATGAAATTCACTATTTAGTTTTAATATTTCATGGTAATACACAATATTCACCCCTAAAGTATGCACCATTTATTTCTATAAACAAAAAAAGGCAGATTGACACTATCTGGTAGGACAAGAAAATGATATCATTATGTAACTACTAGTAGCCGGTTTAGCACTATAATTAAACAAACAAGTAAATAAGGGCAGTCTATTCCCTAGTTGGTTAAGTATTCCCACTTCCCAGACATTAAAACTAATTTTAATAGGTTTTTCATTCGGATAGACATTTACACATGATCAAAGACTAATTTATCGTGGCTGATTTGTAGATAAAAACTGCTCTGTGTTCTGCATTTTATAAACATTTGCCATTCAACACCATTTAGTGTTTTCGAATCATGTCCACAACTTTTGTTCAGCAGGTGCAAAATAAAGTTCTAGTACCATTCCAATTAAACTTAAAAAGAATTGTCAAAAGTAACCGAAGACCACCAGAGGGTTTCAATGAAATTAAAGCTTTACCTCAGACTTCCAGTGCTGTTACTGTTGTGCAGGGTCTTCTTTGCAGGTTTCTGTTATGAGAAAGCACATAGATAATTTTCATTAGGCATCCACAAAGAGAACCAAGCAAATGGAAGGTCAGTACCTTTACACCATCCACTGAAGTGCTCTTGATTTGACCCGATGACCTTTGATGCCCTGCTGTGGCATTTAAACCTAAAAAGAATGCATGTTAACCTAAAACCAATAAAAGCTGACTTTAAAAAAGTGACTAGAAGTTGCCTTGAACCTTTTTTGCTTGACTTTCGAGACAGGGGTTTCCGAATTTCTGGAGACGCACTCTTAAAAAATAAAAAAGAAGAAAAAAGAAAGTATACAACCACCAAATTTATGCAAACAGCAGTAAAATCATTTTACCTTCAGTGCCATTGTGACCTCGCCCACAGACGTATCATCATCTTTATTAAAAAATAAAGACACACACACATACAAACACACCAATTATAAAGACAAATACCATTAATAATAATGCCCAGACTGTAGAAACATGCAGTGTAACTATCATACCATTCATTAGGTCTTTTATCAGCGTGGTGTGGAGCGAGTGCGGCATTTTCATCAGCTCTATTTTGAAAACTCGGTCCACAGTTGCCAGCAATTTGTTCAGATTGGTCTCCATTTCATTAATCCGGTCCTGAGCTGTTTCGGTGCAAGCAAAATAACTGGTTCATTATTCCATATGAAGGAAAGATTATGCATTGGCTTAAAATATATGACTGACCTTCCTTCTCAAACTGTTGTATGAACAGCTCCTTTCTTTTGGTGAGTCTACTCTTCTGGTCATAATCAGGCTGACCTTCAGAATCCTGACTAACTTTTCTAGTTCTTCGTGGAGCCATGCTAATAGTTATAATGCAAGAACAGATCTTTTTATGAACATACAAACCTGGGAGCAGGTGCTTACCATGCAATTACCTTCTTCTGTTTTAATAACGATTGGCAAACTAATTTAAACGGCTCTCTTCTGCCACCTAGTGGACAGGATGCGCTAGATCAGACTTCCCCACTGTCTATGGACTTTCCCGAACTGCTGTTCGCGATTTTCTACAAACAAACAAACACACAATCAAATACTTATTTTTATATGCCATTAACCAACATCAAATAGATGCGAACATACAAATGTGTTGTTAAAATATTGAAATATTAAATTATAATCTCATATTTTTTAAGTACATTTTTGAGATCAAATGGGGTTGACTGACAGAAAAGTTTGGGAATATTTATAAAAAGAAAAATGTCTAAATTATATTATATTATATATTATGTCATAATTATTACTGAAAGTCATCTCATAATTATGATTTATCTTACAGACAACTCAGTCACAACAAAGTGGATAAAAGAATAAGAACAAATAAAATAAATTTAGATTAGAAACAAATCAGTTTAATATTTCATTTTTTCTTATTTAATAAATGTGCAAAAATGTCAACAGTTCTGTGTTTTTCTGTCAGTATGGGGTGCTGCTGTGTGTAAAATAATGAGGGGGGAAATTAACTTAAATGATTTTAGCAAATGGCTGCAATATAACAAAGAGTGAACAATTTAAGGGGGTCTGAATACAGATCAGTAATTTAGTAATTCATAAGTGAAATGTTTTTTATTTTATTTTTTTATTCAATACGTTTATTTATTTAATCCATCTTTATGCCATCAATGAAGAAGCATTTATGCTGTGTTTTTATTATAAAGGAATTTTATTTTATTTTTTTCAGACGAGATTGGACGTAAATGTTACAGGAAATTAGACGTGACGTTTACAGCTTCGCCACATGATGTCGCCACGACACAACGAGAGCATACAGTGTTTTTGTGTAAAAATGGCAAAAACAACCATAAAATCACTTAGAAAACAGCTAACGAAATGCAAATACAAACACGTACCCCGAGTTCACAGGTCGAATGTCCGACGTTATTTCCAAAAACGAGGTGCTAAAAATTCACATTCCGAGCTGTCTGGAACGCAGCATTAGTTAGTTGACGATATATAACGTCATTTGTGTGCGACAGATTTGGTTGTCTACTATGGCAGCCTTCTGTCACGCATGTGAGTTTTGTTGATTCTCATACGGAAAGTTTCTGGCAACCATGGGTAAAATACTGGATGATGTCGTGGATAGCGGTGGAATAGAAGTCATTATTCAAAACGAAAGCGACAAAACAATACCACGGTGTCAACATGGTACGAGAAAAATCGTAATAATATAATAATAATAATATCGTAATAATATAAACTGACAAGTGATTTCCTCAGGACCAGCTCTGTTGTTCGAGAAAACTGCCCATGGAGAGGAAAAAGGAAGAAGATTTTACGCTTGTTCTGCTTGTCGAGATAGAAAAGACTGCAACTTTTTTCAGTGGGCAGACGATAAGGTTAACGTTAGTTTATTACAAGTTATACTTACGTTTACTTTATTAAAATCATTAAACACTCTACAGCAAAAAGATAAACTAAAATTACTACTTCATTAAAAGAATATAAAAACTAGAGATGTGAATATTTGGATTTCATTCACTTGATGAATTTCGTTCATCCTTCAGATATCAGAGGCAAGAATGCTTGCCAGAGAGGAGCAGAACCGCTCCAAGATGCCTCTTTTCACTCATCAGGAGTTCTTCACAAGGTAAATAATTCCCTTTAACTTATTTGAACATTTATGCCATGTCACACTCATCAAGTGAGATATTGTCATGTCTGTTTATGGTAAAAGATATTACTCTAAAATATAAAAAGTTCCTTAGATAAGATGACCTGACAAAATCTTTCTTTCGTTTCTTTCACAGATTTAGAGAGTTTGTTTCTCTGCCACTGGAGCAGAGAAGGTTCTGTGTGGACTGTCAGATGTTGATCTTCCCTGGGGAATGGGCGAATCATGCAAAACACAAATCACTTTCTGAGGACGTCACAGTGCAGCGGTTGAAAAGGCCCAGTCTACTTCTGTGTCCTCTGGACAACAAGAAGAGTAACGCGCAATATCTATTTGCAGACCGGAGCTGTCATTTCCTCCTGGATCTGCTCTTGGGGTTAGGCTTCCAGAAAATTCTCTGCGTAGGGACGCCACGGTAGGTCCTGTGGATGGAGAACTTTTAACCAAAGTCTTGGGTAATGCAAATAGCCAAACTTGTTGGGAAAGGCTTTTTGCACTAACATCACCCACTATAGCGCAGACAAGGGCCATTTGTAGAAATACAATGCAAAAACATGCAAGTACACAATAATTGGAGTGTATCAAATGTTTGATTTAAATGTTAGTACATAGTAGTTAAAGACACTTAATATAAAGTGGGATCTTTGCACTTGCAATGTAAATGCAATGGACAGTCAAAAGCATATCTCCATATTTTAGCTTTGCAGTTGAATTAATAATTCTCTTATATATTCACAGATTACATGAGGCGATAAAGCTTCGGAATATGGAGGGCAAGAGTCCTACCGTCAAGAGTTTATTGCTGGATATTGATTACAGGTAAACATAATACAAATTAATTTCTTTTTACTATATTGTTTACCATAAGGTTTAAAGTAGTAGACTGTTCTTTTATGATGACCTTGCTTTTTTGGTTCATGTCATATCGTATGCTTGCCCTATTAATAAATGAAGCTCAGAAAGGTGTATCTAAGTATAGTATACACTACTATTCAAAATTTTAGGGTCTGTAAGATTTTATTTATCTTAAAGAAATTCAAACTTTTAGACAGCATAGACATAGCATTGCTCAAAAGTGTCAGTAGACATTTATGGTACAATTTTTTTTTTTTTTTTTTTTTTTTCAACATTCTATTCATCTGAGAATCCTGGAAATAATGCATCACTTTTTATACAAAAATATAAAACATCATTTTTTTTTTCAACATTGATTATAGTAAATGTTGTAAATCATAATAGAATGATTTCTGAAGACTGAATAATGGCTGCTAAAAAACACAAAAATAAACCACAAAAATAAATTACATTTGATTTTATAATAAATTGAAATAGAAAACAGTTATTTTAAATTGTAAAAAAAAATGACACAGTATTACTATTGCTATTTTTACTGTATTTATTCAAATAAATGAATAAATGCATCAAATAAATGCAGCTTTAAGAGCATGAGTATAAGAGACCGCTTTCAAGATTATTAACGTTTGGGGTCGGTAAGATCTTTTTGTAGTGTATTCAAACAATATTAAAGACTGAGGTCGCATATCTTCATATGATGATGGCCTGTGTGTTTGTCTATGGGTAAGAAGAAGCGGAAAGCTGGGTAGAGAGGCTCAGTAAAATGATGATATGCTCTGTCAAACACAGCTGTTTGCACTGCTGAAAACTCCTGCAGCGTTCTCATAGTCTCAGCATCATAGAACACCACACGACCCTTGTGATATTTTACAAACACCCCCACCTTGTTCGGTGCTGCCCGTGCTGCTGTGATGGGAAGCGCAATGTGTCGATCGTTGTGCCAGGCCATGAGATGCCCATCCTGAAACTCAAGACTCCACGAGCACCTGTTCCGTCCAAGTTTGGCAGCTTTGTCTCGTCCTCTCCGCTGCAGGCTCCCGTAAGCCACTCCCACAGCCCATGATGGGCAGCAGTGCACGTCCACCTCCCAGTAGTGCTGCCCAGATTTAAAACCTACGGAGCCCATGGCACAGAGTAACTGATCAAACCTTAGAGGGTCATTGGGAACGCAGCCTTCCTCTGTGGAAAGGGACAGGCCCCGTCCTTCTGAGGTCACCTTGATCTGTTTGTGACAGGTCAGTTTGTCAATCGCCACATTAGAGGAGTCTGTCGAGATGAAATGCAAGAATATTCATAAACAGCTGATTTACCCACAGCATCATGGTTCAATTATGTATTCTGAGCAATTCTGGTTACATATTAGCTAATCATTACAATAATACAGTACAATATATTACATAGTATTTATAAAAAGTATAAGTAAACATATAAAGTATTTTTATATTCTTTAACATTGTACCGTTCAACAGTTTGAAGTCAATAAAAAAATTTCTCTACATTCACCAAGGTTGCATTTATTTGATCAAATTTTAATTAAAATATGTATTATTTAAATAGAACATTATGACAATTTAAAATAACTTTTAAATTTTAATATAGTTAAAAATGTATTCCTGTGATTATGGCAAAATTTTATTGTGCAGCATATTATTTTTGCTGAAGTCATGACCTTTATTTTTTTTAAAGTCACTTTTAAGTTGATGCCATCCATTCTTAATAAAAGTATTAACTTTTTTTAAACTTCAAACCAACCTCAAACTTTTGAATGGTAGTATATATATATATATATATATATATATATATATATATATATATATATATATAGACCATTTCACAAGATGTAAACAACACTGGTCCAGAAGCACTTCCTGTTTCAGTTTTTTAACACTACATAAAAGCTGGGATAAAATACAACCAACAGAACATTTAAAACTGAATCAAAAAGTTAAACAAACATCTTTAAGATGTTTTCTTTACATGTGAAATAAAGAAAACAGTTACAAACTGAAACAGGAAGTGCTTCTGGACCAGTGCTGTTTACATCTTGTGAAATGGTCTATATATATACACTCACCTAAAGGATTGTTAGGAACACCTGTTCAATTTCTCATTAATGCAATTATCTAATCAACCAATCACATGGCAGTTGCTTTAATGGATTTAGGGGTGTGGTCCTGGTCAAGACAATCTCCTGAAATCCAAACTGAATGTCAGAGTGGGAAAGAAAGATGATTTAAGCAATTTTGAGAATGGCATGGTTGTTGGTACCAAACGGGCCAGTCTGAGTATTTCACAATCTGCTCAGCTACTAGGATTACAACCATTTCTAGGGTTTACAAAGAATCGTGTGAAAAGGGAAAACATCCAGTATGCGGCAGTCCTGTGGGCGAAAATGACTTGTTGATGCTAGAGGTCAGAGGAGAATGGGCCGACTGATTCAAGCTGATAGAAGAGCAACTTTGACTGAAATAACCACTCATTACAACCGAGGTATGCAGCAAAGCATTTGTGAAGCCACATCACGCACAACCTTGAGGTGAATGGGCTACAACAGCAGAAGACCCCACCGGGTACCACTCATCTCCACTACAAATAGGAAAAAGAGGCTACAATTTGCAAGGGCTCAGCAAAATTGGACAGTTGAAGACTGGAAAAATGTTGTCTGGTCTGATGAGTCTCAATTTCTGTTGAGACATTCAGATGGTAGAGTCAGAATTTGGCATAAACAGAATGAGAACATGGATCCATCATGCCTTGTTACCACTGTGCAGGCTGGTGGTGGTGGTGTAATGGTGTGGGGGATGTTTTCTTGGCACACTTTAGGCCCCTTAGTGCCAATTGGGCGTCGTTTAATTGCCATGACCTACCTGAGCATTGTTTCTGACCATGCCCATCCCTTTATGGCCACCATGTACCCATCCTCTGATGGCTACTTCCAGCAGGATAATGCACCATGTCACAAATCTCGAATCATTTCAAATTGGTTTCTTGAACATGACAATGAGTTCACTGTACTAAAATTGCCCCCACAGTCACCAGATCTAAACCCAATAGAGCATCTTTGGGATGTGGTGGAACGGGAGCTTCATGCCCTGGATGTGTATCCCACAAATCTCCATCAACTGCAAGATGCTGTCCTATCAATATGGGCCAACATTTCTAAAGAATGTTTTCAGCACCTTGTTGAAGCAATGTCACGTAGGCAGTTATGAAGGAGAAAGGTGGTCAAACACAGTATTAGTATGGTGTTCCTGATAATCTGTTAGGTGAGTGTATAAATATATATTATGTTTATGTCTGCATAAACTTATATATATATATATATATATATATATATATCCAAAATATATTTAGCATGAACTTTTTTAGTACAACAAAATTATGGGTTTTATGGACTGAGAGTGTTTTGTACCCAGCAGCAGGCTCTTTCGTTGTAGCTGGACTTTCAGATCTTTTGAGATGTTCCTGAGAACTTTCTTGAGCTTCTGGATCCTCTCCTCATTCATTTTGATCTGCTCTTCAGCTGGGTCCATTTTCTTACGACAGCTAGTCAATCTAGCCGGAAGATGCGTTTGAATTATATAGTCAATTGCATTCATTGTAGATGTTGCATTACGTATATTATAATGTACAGCATGTTTGCTATTGAAAAGAACACGGAAGGCATTATTGTTTTGACATACAATTAGGTTGTCAATATATATTCTGTCACAACATCTGCCAGTCATATAAAGGAAAAAGATGGCCTTACGTAAAATCCTCAGGAAGCGACTGAAAGCAGAGAACATGCAGAAAACAATATAAGTGATCCCTGCTCTTTTTTTCTCAAGATTATTCCAACAACATGAAATGCATGTTTCGTCTTTGACTGTTACCTGCTTCATGGTCTCTGCAGGGCTCTGTTGAGCTGACTGCATAGTGCTGATGTGTTTCTGCAGGAGACCAAGGTGTTGATTCCAGTCTTGAAGAATTCGGTTTATTTTACTGCTGGTCTCCCGGCGGTCTTGCTCTATCATGTCTAGAACAGCCTGTTCATCCTCCTGCAGAGCCATATGCAGCTCTTCATAACACTCCTGTACCTGCTGCTTCATCGCCTCTGAACTCGTCTTCAGCAGAGATGTAGGATTCATCAGTTATTTAACATTTATAGTAGCTGAGGCTTTATCACATTCAGGTAGACTGATAGCTGAATGCCCTATCTACTTTTCTGATATTATTTTAAATAATCCTTTGGAGAGACAAAAACATTTTCTCCAAACCATCTCCTTCAACTACCAGACATGTATTTTTCAAGATCAAATCAAATTCTAAAAATAGAATTCACTTACATTAAGGTTGGCTTGCCTCTTTTTAATAGATTCCATATGAGACTCTGTTCTTTTCTTCTCCGTCTTTAAGTCCTCCAACAAGACTGGTAACTGTTTACACATTTTTGGTAACATTTTAGTTTAGTTTCCAATTCTGACTATTAACAAGTTGCTTATTAGCATGCGTATTACAAGGAAATTGGCTGTTTATTAGTACTTGTAAAGCACTATTATTTTATTGTTTATTAGTACTTGTAAAGCATAATATTACCTTATTCTGCATGGTCATATCCTACATCCCTAACACTACACGATACCTAAACTTAACAACTACCTTACTAACTATTAATAAGTAGTAATTAAGAGTTTATTGAGGTAAAAGTTGTAGTTAATAATTTGTTAATAGTGAGAAAACATTTATTACTGTACACTTACCATTCAACAGTAAGATTTTTTTTATTCCGAAATTAATGTTTATTTAGCAAGTAAGCATTAAATCGCGACAGTAAAAACATAAAAAAAATGCTGTTCTTTTAAACAATCTATTCATCAAAGAATCATGAACAGATATGCATCACTGTTTCCACAAAATATTAAGCAGTGTACATTTTGTTAACACTGACAACTCAAGAAATGTTTCTTGAGCACAAAATCAGCATATTAGAATTATTTATGAAAGATCATGTGACTAAATTCTATCACAGCAATAAATTGCATTTTAAAATATAATCCAATATAGAAAAGTTATTTTTAGTATAGTGCCCCAAAAAATTTTTTTGAACAGTAGTGGATGTCTTGTAAGTGCTTCTTCATTGAACTTATGTTCAACCTTATACTAAGCTCCTATATTTCTAGCATAACTACATTCTTATGTTGTCCTTGTAGATTGTCTCATGTCTCATGATTGCCCGATTTCATTATCAGCTTATTAATTTAGTTTGGCAGTTTAGGAAATCCATCATTACCTCTGAGGGTTTTGGGGAGATGGCTCCAGTTCTCCTGACCAGTTTTGGAGAGCGTGGGAAGGGCTGGGTGGCTTGTGGCCCTGAACGAGCCTCGGTAGCCAGACAGAAGGAACTGGTTTCCTCTGATAGAGGCCTGAAGTCTTCCTCTGCCATCTCTCCAAGTTCTCTGAGCATAGTGGCAATAATGGGAAAAACATCATTCACATTAGTAGTTTTTAATTATCACAATTTTGTCAGTATGTGCAGTTGTAGTATCTAATGCATGAAGAAGACATTTTCTCAGAAGACATGCTGCTTCTTGTTAATGCACAAAAAAATTGCAACTAGCCTTTATTAGAAAATAACTGGATGCCAAAAAGTGCATTTATATTTGCATACCTTAAAGCAAAGATATACTAAGCATAATTAACTTTTCAGCATCTGCACATATGCTATATCTATTAACATGGACCCAGTATCAAGTTAAACGTTCTTACAGTGCTATAAAAAGTTACAATCAGTAAATCAGTTGTGCTCTTAGTGTTGCATGTCACTGGAATAATATTTCACAATAAAATAATACAATAAAACAACTTACCTAAGAAACTGATGAGAGAAGTGAATGTCTTTGGTTCTTGTTCTCCTGCGAGCACTTCTATGTTCATCTGTGGAATGTGTTGAAAAAGGTGTGCAGCCCCTTTTAACATGCCAAAGCCTGCAGCATATGCGGATGTGTTTGCACACACACTTTCACTTTGTTTTATAACTGTCTTTCACAGTTCCAGACTTGCTGACCTGCAGGGTTTAGAAATCTGCAGATTGTGGGTTTTATTTCACTGTTTTGAAATGCATGTCTACACTTGTATTTATTTAGCGCATTGCATGCATTTTGCAGTTATCAACCTTTTTTTTTTTGACCTCTTAGGTACTGCCAGTTTTTTGGTCAGGATGAGTTCTGCCACTATAATATGTTCAACCATCACTTCTTTGATGATGAGGTAAAAACCAACCTCCTTTGACGTCAAATGTGGTCCCTCTTGTACGTTCTGAAAAATCATGATATGCTACTTTGCAGGAAGCGGTCACGGTTTTTCAAGGCTTTCTGCATGAGGAGGGAGGAGCCAAGGTAGTCATGGTAACAGACCCCCCTTTTGGAGGCCTAGTGAAGCCACTAGCCAACAGTTTCTCTCAGATTTCGATGACCTGGAAAAAGCATAATAAAGGTATAAGCAACTAAATTTTGATTGCAACAACTTGTGCATGTTTTACTTTCAAATATAACGCATATGTATGCTTCACAACACAAAATTCGATATTTTAAAGAATGTTGGTAACTAAACAGTTAACAGCACCCACTGACTTATATAGTTGTTGTTGTTGTTTTTTAATGGGTGCCGTCAACTGTGGTTATCTATATTAATATTTTGGGTGAACTATCCCTTTTAATGGAAGATAAAAGTAGAATTATGCTGGTCTATATTTTTCCTCACACAAAATCATATGGCTTCAGAAGATATGGACCACTTTAAAATTGTTTTTTATGTTACTTTTGCATCCTTTATTAAGTTTTGTAATAACATGTAAAAGAAGCGACCAACACAATTCACCGTAGTTTCTAATTTTATGATCCATGGGATTACTTAACTCAAGTCATACATGTTTGTTTTGGAATGAGGGGTCTTTTTCTGTCAAAGGCATACATGTAAATTGTAGTTACATGGAGAAATAATCAACCAGCACAATTTGTTGTAATTTCTTTGAAATTTGTTATCATTACCTGTTTTAATCATTTTTAGTGAGCGATGCAGCTGAGATGCCAATGATCTGGATCTTCCCATATTTCTTTGAGCCCCGTATCCTTGAGTGTTTTCCCTCCTTTTCTATGCTGGATTACCAGGTATCATAGGAATATCATGTTATACATACATTAATTAATATAATGAGTCATTTACAGGGTGTAGTGGTCAAGTGTTGTTCTTCAATCTCAGGTCGATTATGATAATCATCCTCTGTATAAACACGGAAAGAAGGGCCGTAAGCAGTCACCTGTTCGACTTTTCACCAATCTGAGCCCTAAAGATATAATTCTACCAGAGGATGAAGGTTACAGGTGCACAAAGAACACATCTCTTCTTCATAATGCATTCAGGGTTTGTTTAGTCCCCAAAGAGATATATATTTTTGAAAAAAAAAAAATGCACTCATTACCCATATCATACACACTTGCGTGACTTACATTTGTTGATAAGCATGAATATGCATGCACGTCTATTGAGAAACCATTGCAGCATGAAAAAAATATTTTTTTTTCTGAAAGTTTGTTTATGGGGAAAATAGTTAAATTTAACTAGACTCCAGGCAGAGTAATATTGATGTTGAATTGAAATTATAAGATTACATGTTCTTGTATATTTTCATATAATGCTATATTCAAATAAAGTTTCTCAGGACTATTTCCAGTGTATTTCGATAGTTCATGTAACATTTTAAGGAACAAAAGCATTCAAAACTTTGAGAAGTTATGATCTGGTACAATGTTGTTTTAATTAAAAAATATTATTTTATTACTGTTCAATAAGCTTATGTTCCACAGTGTCCAAACTGACCTCGCATGCAGATTTTGAATCCATTATGTGGGTTAAACATGCACTTAATCGTTCATTTGGTTTCTAAAAAATATGTAACTTGCTGTAAATGCTGTATTAAATGTATTGATCGAGGTGGTTTTAATTTTGCCATTAATATTTTTCAATCCTTCGCAGATTTTGCAGTATTTGTGAGAGGTTTGTGTCAGCAGGAAACAAACACTGCCCTAAGTGTGACACATGCCCATCAAAGGTAAATGCTGATGTCTAATTCAGTGTATTGAATAGGAGTAGAAATTATTGACATTTCCCTATTTATCTCTCAGGATGGCCGAGAGTGGAGGCATTGTGATAAATGTGGGCGGTGTGTGAAGCCTTGTAAGCAAATTTATGTACACTTGAACTGATGTCTCCTAATTTTTATTGCTGGCTCTCACCACGTTTATTCTGCTTTCTTTCTCTCTCTCTCTCTCGCCAGCATGGCAGCATTGTTCTTCATGTGGTCGCTGTGCTCTCCCTGATCACCCTTGTCATCAGAGCCAAACTGGCTGTTTCAATTGTGGCAGCCAAAAACACAAACTTAGAGCCTGCCCTAAGAAACACAATAAACGGCAAGTATAAACTAAGATTATTATAGTTATATATATTATAACTAAAACCATTAAATTACATTTTTGTTATTTTAATTAAAATATTTAAACAAACTTTAGAACACTACTTATACTAAATTTAGTTTAAATGTATACTAAAATAACTACATCTGAAATAAAAATTAATAAAAACTTTGCATATATTTTTAAAAAGACTAAACAGAACTTTTTTTTAAGAACAGAACGAATTTTAAATATTTATAAAAACGCCTCTTAATTTAAAGTCCCCTTGTAGTCAATAATTATATCCCTTAAAAGTCATTTTTGATGAAAAAATTATTTTTGACTAAAAAAATTATTCATGTCTTAATAGCTTGAATGTAACTACACCCTTGCCTCATTTAGTATATGCAGAATTGGCAAATTAGCCCCACCTCCACTCACATTAGCTGAGATTTAGTTTGATTGGTTACAACGTAGCTTTATGACATCAGAAACGTATCTGTACTAAATTTATCTATCTTCAGATATTCAGATCATCAGTCGCAGAGCTGCACTGATGATACTGTAGTAACAGGACTATTTAATATGATTATTTCAGTATTAATACAAACTGGTTCTTTAAGTCTTTTAATATAATTATATGATTCTCTTACACATAATTATATGATTCTCTTGCACATGTTCTGTCAACAGAATGCCAGTGCCTGGTGACCGTGGAGCTCAAGGCCTGTCTAAACACATTACTGGCAAATCCACAGCTAAGAACAAATGGAAAAGAACAGTTAAATGATCTCACACGCAGTGTATTATGGGAACGATGGTTTTGTGGCTGCTGACAATTGCATCACAAGTACAAACTGCGAGATCACAAAGTGTGAAACGATGAACTGGTGTTAAACCTACATGTATTCAGGAAGGTTATTATGTACAGCCACAGTTGTCTTTTTGCTGTTTTATTTATGCATCTTGCCCTTGTCACAAGCTTATCCTACACTAGAACGTTCCCAGTTCAATGAACACATTGTGAACAAACCTTATCAATGGTCTGGAGTAATGGTTCAAAGAAGCTTTGTTCCAGCTTCTGTAGCTCAAATAGTGACGATCAGTGTATAAAACGTTTGAATGCAATTACTGCATTATTGGTATGGATGGCATTTCTGTATTTTTCAAAAAGGAAAAACGTATCTTTTTTTTCTGCATAAAAAAAGAAACATTTTATTGCATTTAAAGAAACAAATCCCCGAAAAGCATATCATACTTCATGTTTTTAAACACATTAAAATTAACAATTTTATGCCACTTTTCAAGGAATATCCATTTTGTGCTTTAACACATCAAAACAAAGCATTTGGTGTGAATTTCAAATAAAGTATTATTGTTATAAACTACCAGTGATTGTGTTAATCTTCAGGATTCCACCAAAGTCAAGGAATGCTTAGCATCTAGTGTACGTCATAAGCTTAGTGTTTTAGAAAGAAACTTCAAGCCTCTCCTATTAGTGTAAATTTAAATAAATCAGCGGTCACATTTGTTAACGTTTTACAACGACAAGAATTCAAGTTATTTAAAAGAATTATTAAAACCAAAACAATCATAATGCATAAAGATTTAGATTAAACCACCGCATAGGCATTATAATCTGCAAAGCTTCATAACTGGTGGAGCTGCCAAACATGTTTTATACGGCGGTTCACACATGCTTGTTTAGATACTGCAACTGTCAATACTGCTCCAATAGTAGTTAAATTCACAGTTAGTTCAATATATAGGGAACATAAAGTAAAAATATTTACATTTACTTGGAAGACGATGATTCATGATTATGAAAGTTTTCCATCTTTACTGAACTGTCTTTTAGTAGTTGGTGGAGGCACCTGTCAGTCTCAACATCGTTCCTCTATCCTTCTATGGCGTATGGAGAAGGCGATGAGTCGTTTGTACATAGCGCTGAGGAGAACGACTGCAGCTAGTACAATGCCACATATGACACTGAAGGCCCATCGGGGTCCCAGGTGGGTGTAGACGTGAGAGACGAACACAGGCCCGAGAGTCCGCGCACCACTTCCTGATGCTGTCAGCCAGCCCATGTAAACCCCCTAAGTTCACACACAATTGGGGAAGAGAATAAATAGCATAAACTTTAATTAATCCTCATGTTACATTAGATTGAGATTCAGTGTTTTAAAAGAGAATGTATTGTACCTGAGGTCTGGGGCCCAGTATCTTTGAGTAGAGAGTGTAGGACATTACGTTGCAGGTCGGATAGCCCACTCCGATCAGGATGTCAGAGGTGATGTACTGTGCGAGATGAATTACAGGCGTATAAAAGCACCAGGTCTGTTCGGACAGACATCCGGTGGGCTCCAGAGAAGTGTTCGAGGCTTGGGTGGGTGCCAATCTTATTGTTGGCGTAGTGTTATTCTGGATGCCTGTTTATGGGATAATATTTGTTTAATGTACACAAATTTCAGCTGTAATATACACTAACGATCATGTTATGTTAACAAAATGATTTCTATTTTAATATATAATATATATATATATATATATATATATTAGGGCTGTGCAAAAATTAATAGCGATTAATCGCATCCGAAAAAAAATCTGTGTTTACATAATATGCGTGTGTGCTGTATATAATTATTTAGTATATATAAATACCTATGCATGCATGTATATATTTAAGAATTATTTGCGCTTAAATTCTGTGTATATATATATTATATAAATATTTTATGAAGAACACATTTTCTTAAATATATACATGCATGTGTGTGTATTTATATATACAAAATAATTATATACAGCACACACAAATATATTATGTAAACACAGACTTTTATTTTGGATGCGATTAATCACAATTAATTTTTGCCCAGCCCTAATATATATATATATATATATTCCAAAGCTGAATTATCAGTATCATTACTACAGTCTTCAGTGTCACATGATCATTCAGAAATCATTCTGATATACATTTATTGTTGAAATGTTAAAAACCGTGATTCATTTGACACCTTCATTTGACATTTTATCTATTTAATGCATCCTTGCCGAAGAAAAGAATGTCATTCTTCTAAAAAAATAAATGATAAATTAATCAACTCCAAGCTTTTAAATAGTATATTGCTATTTTAATAATAAAAAACATAATTATTTGCATTTGGAAACAAGCTTTACAGGGTTAAGACTCGTTCACGCCAAGGACCGTAATGATAAAGATAAAGTTCTAAAAATCATTTTCCATATTAAAGAATAGCAGAGTTCACACCACGGCTATATAATAACGGCACGAGAAAATTATATTATAGGAATCACATCCAGAATGACTTTTTTCAGTTGATGAATAATAAAAACATTGACAATCAGCTCAAGCATTTGGAGCGGCAGACAAGCACGCACTTAGAATAAATTGAACAATATCTGTTTATGCTTATAGTTCTTGGTGTGAACGGGCCTTTAATCGGATACCTCACCTGTCCACTGTATTTTAGGATATTGATTTCCCCATGGCAACAAGACAAAGAACCCTACAAATATGAGCACCAAGCCTCCGAGCAGCAGTGGCCGATCTCCTACCCTGTAAACACAGCCAAATAAAGAACTGATTTCATCTGAGATCTGATTAGTCAGCTTGCAAAGTGCAACAAGAGGAAGTCATGTGTTCAAAACTGTTAGCATCCAAAACATATTTGTTGGGTACAGCAGAAATGCATGTGACAAAGTATTCCTGACCTAAGACTTTAAAACAAACAGTCACAAGACTGTACATTACTGAAAGTAATGTACAGTCCCATCATGAGTAGTTATTATGCAAAACCTACACTGCAAAATACTCTGGGCCTTTAGAACATTTCCCTTTTCCCAAAAGAAGAAAAGTGACCTAATACTTTTGTAGATGTTGTCAAATTGAAGTAAAAAAGCATGTCTGATTGTTCAAGGTTCTTCAAAACAGCTATGACAAATGGAAAAGTCTAATAACCAAGATCAAATTAGCATAAAGCTATTAAAAAAAATCTTTTTACCATTTTGAAACCACCTTTACCACCAGGAAGACGAGGATGGACTCAAAGCCGATGGCAGCCAATATGATGCCGTTATACAAAACGGCTTCTTTTCTTGTCCATGCAAACATGTCCATTGATAGAGGAGTAGATATACTGCAGGCAAACAAATTCACATGAATATGAGCTGATTAGACTTTAAATATGAGTCGAGATCTGAGGAACTACACTTACGTTTCGAACACAGCAAAAATGAAGAGAATAACGAAGAAAAGGATGTTAGATGTCAACACTGCAAACTGGTCAATATCACCTTCCACCTCAGGAGTCACTTCTACTCGATCTGAAAGTACAATCAGTACAAAAAAATTTTATAATTACATGAATTATTATAAAACAAAATGCACAGGAACACCATGGTAAAGCAATAGTACAGTGCTAAAGTATATTTATAAATACATTTACACCAGAAAATAAATCTGTTACCTTCTGGGGTATAGTTAATTGCAGAGATATGATTTCCATGGTCATCCACCCAGTGCTCCCTAAATAATGGAAAACACTTTAAACTTTATGCATTGCTTTTTTCAAGTACAGTCAAATAGGATGTAAGCCTGACACCATGTCTACAACAGACGCAAGTGGTACGACACGACAAAGGACAATCAGGGATGTCGTCTACATCAGTAAACTGATGCCTCGTTCTATTTATGATACTCCAAGGCAAGTACTAGCAATACTTCTCACAGGAAGGACAAATGGATTTGCAATGGTTGCTTTGTCAAATCTAGGGTGCTTCTCAATATCCCTCCTCGTCTCCTCGCTCCTCCGTCCTCCCTCCTATGACCCGGAAACCGATCGAGCTCAGCCATCTTGAAGGACATCTCAATTCTCTAATTGCACCGTGAGGAGTCGAGGATCGAGGAGATAGGAGGCTTCCTGAGGAGTCATAAGCGAGGATACACAGGTGCATCCTACGCGGAACTGTTATGTTGACTAAACGTGACGCACGTGTCAATTCTCCTCCCCCTTCACATCGGTCACAATCATTTTAATTTATACTTTACCTTTGCAGTTTATATAAACCACACATCTCAGATATTTCAACAGTATAGCCTATCTTTATTATTATTTATTATGAATTTATTAAATAACCAAACTTCAACAACATAGGGCAGATCCTTTTAGCGCTGCTGATGACACTGTGGAGTGACGCTCGAGTGATCAAGTACTCCAATGTATATAAAAAAGCTTTTATTCGATTCCTCTGTCCTCCTTTCCTTTCCTCGCTTCCTTCTCTCGCGTCCTACAGGGGGTGGAGCTGAGACGCAAGGAAAGGAAGCGAGGGAAGGAAACGAGGATGCACAAATAAGAAATGAGAAGCACCCCTAGTGTACAGCTTCTTGCTGTTGCAGCACAATGTGATGTGTCTGGTGTAAACATGGTTCTAGGGTTAAAAAATAAAAGTACTGAAAATAAATACGCAGACCTCACATAAAATACATACAAAATACATGTATTTAAGACTCAGGTTATATCATTACCTCAAGACTAATATAACCAGAAGAATGTTAATGACCCCGAAGCAGGCCGCCAACAGCGCTGGAGCAGTGTACATATTAACCTGAAGCTGGATAAATTTCACAATGACGCCAGTCTCTCCGATGAATGACAAAGCAGCCTGAAGAGCTGAAAAACAAAGGCAGTCAACATCTTTTTAATGGTAACTAGCCCTAAGAAAGTATAAAATAAAGACACCATCAAACCAAGCTGTAAAATTACTATTCTTATAGAGGGTATGCGCGTGACGTCACCGTCGGCCGGATTGCCAGCAATTACCCAGCAAAAAGTCTGAGAACAAAAATGTGTTTTCAGCGTGAATGCCGCGAAAAACAATCACAACACATCTAAAGTCTACAACTAGATTTGACAAAAAAAATCGGAGGTATATTTTTACAGACTACTATTAGAAAAAGGAGCAAATGGGTCGCTGCCATTCACAAAAACAAGTGGACTCCAGTCAGCAAAAGGTGGAATTGCAGTTATCATTTTGTGTCAATATGCTGAATTTAGGTGTAAAACCATACCCATATATTTTGTATTGTTATATATGAAGAGTTCAGATGCAAAAGCCTCTAAGTGCCATTTTAAATTTTCTCCTAGAATGATCATTTTTATCAAGCTTGTATATTTAAGTTCAGTAATTTCACTTAAATGGCAATGAATATTGCCTATTAATTGTCATTTAATTGAAATCACTGAACTTAAATATACAAGCTTGATAAAAATGATCAATATAGAAGAAAATTTCAAATGGCATTTAGAGGCTTTTGCATCTGAACTCTTCATATATTAACAACTCATCAATTAAATATTTATCATTGCATATTCTGCATTATTGGATGTTTTTTAATAAACACTGACCAAAAACAAAACTATAAAGTTTTAGGGATGGACGATATGATGATATATATAGGCTATATATAAGTGATCACCCGGATTTAGACCTACCTATATTGTATTTATATAAAGCGTTCACAGGCAAATTTGCTTTAGCCTATGTTTAGGTCTATATTGCCTGCATGTCAATATCCATGGATCACTGGATCTTTAGTAAGTTGTAAGGAACACTATATTGAGTCCAACATTTAGTTTAAATTGATAAAATTGTTCGTTTTAGTCGCATTTTCAGTTTCCACTCACGTCAATGCATTCCCTCTATAGAGCAATTTCTCACCAAATGCCATCTGTAAGTAAAATGCTTTTGACTTCACACAAACCTGGGCCAAGGATAAAGCCGAGAGCTTGACAGGCGCTCATGTTAGCCATTGCACTGGTTCTCTCCGTCAGGGAAGTGGCACCAGCCACATAAGACCTCACAACTGCTACATTACCTACAGGACAGAACGACAGACCATAGCACTGCAAATAAATTAAGTACTTTAGCTTATGCTTGGTAATAATTGTTTACTGAATCTGTATTTGCTATATTAACCTTATATTAAATTGTAATTTATTATTTATTTTTTTTGTTTTTTAAAGAAGTCACTTATGCTCACCAATGCTCCATTTATTTAATCAAAAATACAGTAAAGACACTATTATTGTGATAATGAACTAATCTTTTTTCGAGTCATTTGGTTCATTGATCAAAAAAGATTTGTTCATTTTGATGAACGAGTTTGAAGGCGAGCATTAGTGCTTATAAAACTTAAACTTTTTTATTTATTTTTTAAATGACAGATCGTTTCACTAGATAAGACCCTTATTCGTCGTCTGCTGTCGTTTAAAGCCCTTTCAAGCTGCACTGAAACGGTCATTTGGACCTTGAACCGTTTGGTACCCATTGAAGTCCATAAAATGGAGAAAAATCCTGGAATGTTTTCATCAAAAACCTTAATTTATTTTCGACTGAAGAAAGAAAGACATGGACATTTTGGATGGCATGGGGGTGAGTAAATTTTCAGCAAAATTTTTATTTATTTATTTATTTTTAAAGTGAACTACTCCTTTAAGCAGCAAATTAGCATATTAGAATACTTTCTGAAGGATCGTGTGACACTGAAGAGTCAGACTGGAGTAATGATGCTGAAAATTCAGCTTTGCCATCACAGGAATAAAATACATATGAAAATATTTTCAAATAGAAAACAGTTCTTCTAATTTGTAATAATATTTCACAAAATTACTATTTCTACTTAGCCTGGGAAAACCCAGACAAGTTCCGCCAAATTTAGATTTGCCCTGGCAAAGAGCTCATTCAAGCCCGTTTCCAATCCGTCGAAATCGAGGCACCAATCAGAAACGTTGGGGCGGGCTTTACACGATGACAACAGCCCTGGGATTTTGAAGCAGATTTTGTAGCCTACATTACAAAGATGGATGCAGCCGTCGAACATCACTCGCTCGAATCAGCTATCGCATCTGTGTTAAGCGTTTGAATATTTCCTTTTTGTTAAAAACCAAGCAAAGAACAACACTCGGAGATGTTTCTCCCCCCGCTCTGCATACGTCATCACCTTCATCGCTCTGATTGGTTTTAGGTCTATCCGCGACGTCCGTTGGTGACGCCCCTCTGGAAATGATTTGTCTATGACGCTTTGCCAGACCATAACTCACTTACAACTGAGAATGGTCTGGTTTTAACCAGGCTAATTTCTACTGTATTTTTGGTTAAATAAAGAAGAGAATTCTTTCAAAAATTAAAAAATTGTAATGTTTCAAAACTTTTGAGAGGTACTATGTGTGTGCGTGTGTGTATTATTTATTTATTTATTTACCTGCTCCAATGCCCACAAATGTGCGGGACAAAAGCATGTGAATTTTGTTGTGTGAGGGAAGCAGGTAGACATAGGCGTAGTAAATGTTAGCAGAGATGTTGATCAATATAGAGCAGACTAAAGGCTCTCGCCGAGGCCTGTGATTGGACCATAATCCAAAGAGGGGTGAGGCCACCATCTGACCCAAACTATATGCTGCAACCAGCCATCCCAAGAAACTGGCATCTGCACTGTCATCAATCTAAAAAAAAAAAATTGAAACACACACACACACACACACACACATGATTGATGGACTTATAAGACAGTAACAGACTAACAAGCCATACTGTGTATAACTGAATAAAACTACAACTCCCAAATTGCCTCTACACACACAACAGTAACATTTGCAGGCCACTCCCAGTCTGCTCCTTTTGGGAAGGCTTACCCAGAGTCAAATCCCACCTCGCTTGAGACGGAAATACTCGACTTTGTATTTAGTTAACGGTGCAACAATTCAAAAAGTAAACATTTGGCAGGAAAGAGTCATTTTCAGTTTTCAGTGAAAGATCCAGAGCATTGTAGGGAGCAGCTAAATACACGCTTTGCATCTTTTGCTGACAAATAAACAGGCATTTCTTGGTGTAGGTAACACAAAGAAAGAGTAAATTGTTAATTAACATATATTACTGATATTATAACAATATAAAGCAGGTTGAAAATCTGAGAACTTGTGCTTTAAATTACATTTTTATTAATAACCCTAGCTCACGTGTTCAAGTGTTCACACTTCTGCAAAGTCTACACAAAGGAGTAAGGACACTTTTGAAAACAGGAACACATGTCCTATTTACGTATATTCAATTACAGAATTTAAACCTCAACAGGTTGTTTTAGAAGATTCTCAGGGGAATTGCTAGATTTAAATATTCAAACAGGTTTTAGTTGATTCTTTGGCATTTCTTAGAAATACACATATAACTACTTCCCTTTTTCACTTCTAGTTATCAAATTAAGCATAATTCAAGTTATCAAATATTGTACAGAGAAAACTTTAGAATTCCCATGCTAATGAATGTTCACACATCACTCAGGAAATACTTCGAACAGATTGAACAGAAGTTTCTAGAAAGACCAAAGCCATGGGTTTGATTCCCAATAATTAATGCATGAAATTATAAAATCTATAGCTTGAGTACAGAGTACAATGTATACATTGAATGTGTAAATGCAAGTATACTTACTTTCTTCAGATAGGGCCAAATGGAAGTGATGACAATCGTAAAACCTAAAAAAAAGAACATTGCAAATCACTTAATATATTACGTGTCACTTAATTAGTACTTTGTACTACACAACTAATGTGAATAACATTGATTTATAAACTAAATAAGATAGATGTATACTAAATGTACAGACAGATCCCCTTAAAAAGGCATAGTTTACAACACAACATGTCCTGACATAACAGGCACATCTTCTGAGTTACAGCAGGTTTTCAACTCTAAATTGAATCGGTACATATGTTCATTGAAACAGACAGCAGAATTCATATTCATAACCGCACAGCAGCGATAACTGATCTGGGGCCTCATTTTTGCGTACGCACAAAACAGGCCCTTAAAGAGACGTACGCCACTTAAAGTTTGATTTATAAAAACAAACTTGACGGGAAAATTTGCGCACCTGCACGCTAACTCTGACCCATCCGTACGAACATTTTGGAGATGGAGCAGTTTGGCGATGTTAAATGGCTTTATGGTCACATTTAGACAGAAACACTTCTGATTACTCTTTTACTTCTGATATAAATATTAAGATAAATATAAATATGCCATTCTCATTAATGAAGTTAAACAGTTCAACTACACAAAAATCATTACTGAGAAGTTATAACATTTTTTATATTCAATAAATACAAATATTTGTTGTGGATACAAAGCTTTTTGCTTCCTCTGGCATGCTGTGTTTTAATGTTTTAACTTCAGATAATTGCTTATCATGATAATAACAGATTGTCTGAGAAAATAGTTCATGCAAATAATGCACAGCAAGGTCTGTTTCCATTAAATAAATAAAAAAATACTATTTGGCCAAAGATTGAGTAAAACTTTCTCTGTAATGTATTTTACACAATTTGATTTATTTATTCAAAAACAAGGCAAGCATAGGTTACTAAATTATTTTTATTAATGTAATGACAGCACATCTGTATTTCATATTTTCCCTGTGTCTTGTAGCCTACCGTTAAATGTACAATATATAGGATTTTTGCAGTGAAATATCTAAAAACCACTAGGCCAATGTTATTTATTTTTAGTTGATTACTTACAATATCCCCAATGTTGTACACTACTTTTCAAAATGCATTCTGGGATACATTGAGTGGACTATATAGGGTATAATAATCATCACTATAAATTCGGACAGCACTACAAAATGGCGAGCTCATAGTGAGTAGTGGGAGATTTCGGACACAGCCAGAGACAACATTAGCCGTTTCTCAATACCAAGTACGCAAAGTTCGAACTTGCGTCCTTGGTTGGTAGTTCAGGCTTGCAAAGTACGACTCAGGAGAACGAACTCCCGAGGACGAGAGGACGCAAGTCCGGTTATTCTGCAAATGGAACAGAGCGTACTTGATCGCGTCACTCAGCACGCTCTGGCTACGGCAACAATAAAACGAAATATGCTACTCTGCCTCTTTTCGTCCAAACTAAAACGAAACTTGTTATGAAACACCACGTTGCCTCTTTTCATTAAAACAAAAAACAAAAAACTTAAACATATTTGGCCATGTGGTTCAGGCGTATGATTATCTTCACTCCATATATTAATAACAAAATGAACACAATGAACAACATCTTTTTGTTTTCATTTTAAAAATATGAAACATTATTGATTTTTATTGATATTTAACAAACAAAGACAAGAGTTGATTTTATTTTATTGTTCATATAGTGAAGATCATGTAAAAATGAAATAAATAAAAATATTTATTTATAATAACACAATAAAACGATTTTTTTTTTTTTTACCATGCAACAAACTAGTTAAATGAGACGAGACGAGACCAAAGATAGACTTTTACACAAGACGAATTATACGTCAAGTTTATCCACTAGACGAGACATCTGTGCCAGCGGCAAACGTCAGAAGCTCTAGCCCAGCAAAAGCTGTTCCAGTCGGGGTTGATGAGCGCTGGGCGCCCGGTGAAGGCTTGCATGTCAGAGCTCCGAAAACGTCAGATACATTTTTGAAATAGGTGCTATCTAAATAAACCACAGATTTAAGATTTAAACAACCACATTCTCGAATAAAACACTCTTAAAATTACATTTGATGACAACAAAACAGTAGTATTTTGATATTTCGCGGACGCTTGCTGGTTGACGCGAGATGCATTCTTGGATACCTGGCCATCTCAAGTGAACACCCCTATGGTCCGCACAAGTCACCTCTCGATGCATTGCGTTTTCGGGGTGGACGGGATTTTTTTTTTTTTTTAACGCAGAAGGAAAAGCCCCGGTTATAAAAATAACAGTGTCCGTGTGGACAAGCCCTAAGAGAGTTGTTTTCTTACCAACACTGCTGAGGAACATGGTAAAGTACATGACCCTGATGGACCTCCATCTGTTTCTGTCTGCATCCCCATCACTTTAAGAGGAAAGGAGAAGTTGGACATGACATAAGTATAGCTCTTTCTTGAATGTATAACGTTACACTGGAGATGATTAACCTTAGTAACAATCATTTCATGCATTAGGGGGACGACAGCTCATGCAAGTGATTGCATATCTTCTCTACACGGTACTAAACTTCTGTACGGGTATCATTTCAACTCATCTGTGCATTAGTGGCAGAAATACCCTTGTGACATGAAGCACGGTCAATATGATCAAGTTTAACTGGTCAAACCAGATAGTTTCAGTTTAAACATAAAGTCAGAATATTAATAAAAGTAAACAAGATCAGTTCTGCCAGACGGCGTCATTACAAATGCAATTATCACACAACTTACCTTGTAATATCGCCTCTGAGAAGCGGAGTGTTTTCATCAGACTCCACAAGTGACATTATTAGCGATTGAGCTTCTTGCGAAAATTAAAAGACGACGATAGTTCATTTAAGGGCAGTTCTTTACTATGACATGCACTTCAAAATCAAGTTAATTTGACTGAAAACTGTCTGAAGATGCACAACACATATCTCGAAAACGCATTCAGGCCTCTAGATAATATCCCCATTTTAGCTGTAAGAAGCAGACTAGTGTTCAGAATCATTCATCGCCGTTTGACGCGCAGTCTAAAGTCCATTGGTGGCGTTGATTCAGCGAAAACTTGAATCATTCTGAAGAAGGTTGTCACACGTGACCGCGAGCATTGAGCACCGAAACAGAAAACAACAGCTCGAGAAGTTGCACTCCACACTACACTTCAAAATAAAAGCCCCTTAAAACTCAGGGTTTTTTAATAGAAATTATAAGGTTTTTTTTATTTTTTTATTAGTGTAAATATTTATTCATTCATTTTTTTAACGTATTTAATACTATTAGTTTTCAACATATGACAGACAGACAGACAGACTGCTCCATAAAACTTGCGGCATTTAAGCACCAAACATCCCACCTACACTATGATAACTGATCATTTTCCAAAGAAAAGACAAGTTGTGGATAAAATGTAAAAAGCAGGTTGAATAAACAAAGAGTATTTTTTTCCATTTGATAATGATCGACAAACAAGATAGACAATCACATAGAATATTGTGTGTATAGACAGGGCATGAGTGATGCTGAAAGAGATTGTGGGCTCAGAAACTGGATAAGATTAATAATGAGCTGCATCTGAAGGGAATCATGCTGATATGTTCACCAGAATAAATGAAGTTCAGTTAATTGAGGAACATATCCAATGAATAAACAAAACAAATCAAATCACTAAAACAATCACAAAGGAAGGGGACACTTTAGTTAATGTGATTAGGATTGAGAGGGGTGCCAGCCTTTCTGCTTGTGAGATAAAGATGACACACGCTGATAGATGATAGAAAACACTGACACAGTTGGCTTTTTATACTGTGGATACTTACTTGTGTGAAGTTGCTTTCTCAGTTTTGACCCAAATCTAAACCAAGCAGAGGAATATAAACTCAAAGTGGTTATCTGCCATGCAGCACTGTCCCAAAAACGTTATCTCTGAATTCTATTTAAAGAGAGATGAATCATTATGAATGAGCATCAATCTGTTTTTCGCCCACTGTATTAATGTGGCATTCTGGTTGAGAGTATTTTTATTATAATACACATTTAATTATTTTAATAATGCAATATCAATTTGCAAGCAGATAAATAAAACATAGTTTCTTAAGCCATATTATAAAAATGTATCATGTGTGTTAACCATAGCCAATTTTCCACCAAAATGCCATTTAAGTTAATAAATAAGTTAAATGTTAGGCACCAACAGAACAAATTATTAGTCACCAATGTAAAGCATTACAAAAGAAAACAGTTCTGAAAAGATTGTGAAGGCTTCTTAAACCATTTGAAAGAGAAGTTATATTATTCTACTATGGTTGAAAATAAATAAGTATATGGCATATGATGCATGCTTATTGGCACATCCAGTATGGGCTATATGCACGCATAAGTTCCGCATTTGACGTAAGGATGTTCGTCCATTTCCGGTTGTGTAGATTAAAGCGGAGGAAAACCGGAGAAAACGGGATTATGGCAGAGTCTTCAATATTTACTGTCCTCCCGTCTTTGAAACGAAACGTACATACGTTTAGATGTAATTTTATATATAGTTATGTTTATTTAATATAATTTTTAAAAGAAGCATAAACACAACGAGGGGTGTCTGTTTTATCTGTTTTTGTGACTAACGTTTCATTAGTATAACCATGGAGTATAAAATTCAATATAAATTCTCGGTATTGCATTGGACTCTACGATCGGCGGAAGTTATCGAGCATCCTTAATCCTTCACCGGAAATACCACCGTGCATAGAGCCCATTCAGGCATGTCAGTGGATAGTTGCATGTGTGCCACTGACATTATCACAGAACAATGACACTCCTGAACTTAAGCCAGCTCCTTGTTTCCTGTCTGCCATTATTGGCCAAATTGATTAATCCAGGTGTGCCTAACCTCAGTAGTCACGGCAACAATAACCAGACACACCTGAATTAATCAAGCTTGGGGTTCTGGACTGGCTGCAGTAACACGTCTCTGTCCATGCGGGGGCGCTCGCGGTCGAGTGCAGAATGAATGGGAGTCAATGGGGTTTCACCCCCATAAATCCACTTTTCTCAGGATGTAATTTTTTGTCAAGTAATTTGAAAGTTGCATTCAAAAGGGAGGGCTAAGATAATACAATCACCTGAAAATTGCATTTTTAAGTTCACTTATCTGTTCTAAAAATCCGTTCAAAAATGTGATGACGTCACACAATAGCAGAATGCTAGCGTGTTCCGGCCAACAACACCCAAACCTGTAAGAAATCAAAAGGACATAAGTACTCGTTCATTCGACTTTTGGCCTATAATCTATATTGAACTTGCGTAATCAACAATAAAAGCTGTGTTAATTTAACGACAAGCAGGTGAAAGAGACACTTTTAGCCGTTTAGCCCCATAGACTCCCATTCATTCTGCTCTCGCCCGCGATCACCTCCAGTGGAATTCTAATGGAACTGCAACCAGGATGATACACAACGGGGCTAATAGGAAGTGCCAAGGCTCTCCGTTAGACGGGTTCTGGCAATAATGACAGACTGGAAACAAGGAGCTGGCTTAAGTTCAAGAAGTAGTGCAGCTGGGTAGTGTAGTGACTCCGGTCCGGTGTAGTGACTGACAGATACGGAAGCCTTGAACCACAGCGTAGAAAAAAAAAAAAAAAAAAATCTGTAAAAGAAAAACAAATCTAGCATTTCGAGATTAAAGTCGAAATATTCCGAGATTATATTCGAAACTTTTAAATCTCCACCTCCTCACACGCAATGTTTCTTTATGTGTACAGATGTGACGTAATGAAGCAAAAACATGCTCAAATCTCCCGCAAGTCTACCACTGGAATTAAAAACATTATTACAAGCTTAGCGTTTTGAATCGATCGAGGTAATAAGGCAAGCAGATACTTTTGAACACTGGCTGGCTGGTTATGTATTTGCTCAGTTTAATTTTTAACCCAAAAAAAGCTACGGATTTTTTGTTCTCTGAAAGACTAGTCAAAAGACAGCTATAAGAGACTTAGTATTTCATGATATATTGTTATTTAAAAATGTTAACTAGAATAGGCTATTAATATTTAGGATTTTGTGTCACAATAACGTCAAGCTGTTCAGCTCTTACTATGGAGGTGTCACGCCCCAACCAGACTGTAAAAATAGGCATACGGCGACATACTGTATGTTCCACGACCAGACTGTAAAACAATTCGTCCACGACGAATGTCAGTGCCAGTTATATGCCACCAAACTGGCACATGCCAATAGCCATTTCACTGATTAAACCCGCTAACTAAACGTTACTGGATTTAGAGTAGTGATAATAAATGTTGTGATTTTTATATGTATTTGTACCATTAGCGACATGCAGCCTAACAAACAAAACGAACGTAATGCCACAACAAACCTTTTCGGGAACATCGGTGTAACTTCTCTCCAGTCCGTGCGCATGATCCTGGAAGAATCAGTTTTATTAACGTCTTCGAGAAACAAAATCGGCAAGGAAGATTTGATAATAATGAACAATTATACAATTAACATACACAAAGGCTGATAACAAAAGTTGTTTCCAGAAACAATGAGCATAAAAACAGGTTTTATAGAGCAGCGGCAAGCAGCAACAGGTTAGAAAAGTTAATCTTTCAATGGCTCTCTGCCTGGAAAAGTTTAAAATTTGCCGAAATATCCCGCCCCTGGCTAAAAGAGATACTGTGATTGGTTGGTTCTACCACTGAGTGACAGTCTGCTTGCCCAATCCTACTGGTTAGAAGTCTAGATTTTTTTTTTAATTTGGAGAAAAAAGTTTAAAGCGTGAAGCGTTTGTTGTTTTACAATCTGCTTGTGCTTTGCTTTTAAAGGCTCACGAGTCTTTGCCCGTGATAATTTTAATGAAAATTATATTTAAATGGACAGATTTCATTTCTTCCACAGGACTTTTACTTTTACTCTGGCTCACAGGTATCATGTCAATGCTTGTCCTCTTCTGCCCCCTTCCGTTTTCAGTCTGAGCACAGGTCCACACATAAATAGTAATTTGTGAATGATCTCTTTTAAATGAAGGCTGAAACTGTCAACAACATGCTGCGTTAAATTAGACTTAAATTATGTGTTCTCGGTACAGAAGTGCAGTTATAACAATAATTAAACACACAATGACCTGCATTTTATGTTTTATTAACCAAATAATGTTTATGTTTAATTTTGTGAGAAAGTCTCACTAATGACACTGATTTATGACGCTCGCTCACCTTCCGTTCGTGGGGACTCTTATTTTGGCGGAATGCAGCTCGTACTGTCTATGGGTGGATTATCATAGACTGTCTATGTGGATTATGGGATTACCCGGGATTACCTCAGAGCGCAGTGCGCGTGCGATTCAGTCTGGCATTAACCGTTATTTTCAAGAACGAGCTGTGAAATTCCCTTACTGAATGCCGTTTTAAGATCGTCGTTGTGTTCGTTCGAGTGTTGAAGTTGTGTGCGTCCAGAGAGAAAATCACACACATATGCTGATTCACTTCTATGGACATAAAGCACTTCTATGGACATAAAAAACGATACAGAGATTCCTTCTCCGACTTTGGTGTTCTAATCGGCACACCCGTATCAGCTTCATCTTATTAGCAACAGCTAGCACCTTAGTTACAAATTTATTTATATTTTGCACATTTAAAATGACATAAAAATGACAATGATAATAATAACAAAACATAAAATATATAAACAAAATAAGGCAAATATGATGTGCAGGAAGAGGCAAAAAAAACAAATGGGCTTCTCCGTAAAGGTAAGATAATTTATAAAAATTTTAAAACAGCAGTTAAATGTGCTTTTAAATATATTTTGTAACATTTTAATGAGGAGGAGTTTGTTGCTAGGTGGGAAAAGCTGTTCCATTATTTGGCACCCCTGATTGACCTCTGCACAGAGCCGGCCCGAGCCTTTTGGGGGCCCTAAGCAGAATTTGATTTGGGGGCCCCTCCCATGACGCGGAGTCACCTGTGTCTGACGATTATTGACACAAATGTCACGCAATAATGATACATTATAAATGAATACACTTAGGTTATGTATTAGGCTACAACAAAATTAATACTTAATAAAAAGAAAATAGATGCCTACTTAAATAAAAAAAAAAGTTTTAACAGTCTTAAAACTGTCTCAAAACATATAAAAAAAATTATTTGCTAAAATTATGACAAAACTGAGAAACATAACAACAAGCCTATTGTTGAAAACTAAAAATATTTGGCCTACTATTTTTTTAACTGTCTCAATACAGTGTAACTGTCCTCAAAAGCTTTATTATTATTATTATTATCGTAAGAGACTTTGTTAGATATTACATGATGACATAATCCAACAAAGTCTGTTACTATAATACCGGTAATGATGTTCTGGCGCTCGTTGTGTATGCAATGTGTTTTTCCCCTCGGGGCTTGCCGTAGATGGGTCGTGGGCAGGCTGCGCACTTGGTAGGCTACTGGAGTGTTGTATGGCAAGCCGTTTTAGCTTAAATTGTACCCAGCCTTAATCGTCATTATTGCATTTTTACCAGTAAGAATTCAATTAGAGAGCTTTACAATTTAATTCCTACTAGTAGCAATTACAATTATAGAGCTCTCTAATTAAATTCGTACTAATAACAATTACGATTAGAGAGCTCTTTAATTTGATTTTTACCAGTAAGAATATAATTGCAAAGCTCTTTAATTGAATTGCAGAGCTCTGCAATTGCATTACTAGTAAGAATTACATTAGAGAGCTCTCTAAATCAGTTTTTACTAGTAAGAATTACATTAAGAGAGCTCTTTAATGCAATTATATAGCTTTGATTTTTACTATAAGATTTTTATTACTAGCTTGTTACATTCAAGATGATTAAGTTACCGATGACACAATAAAGTCTCCATTTACAACCAGGTAAAGTTAGCCTATAATACCGGTATTTTGTTTTATGAATACAAATACTGTATTTTTGCTACTTAAAAGTGATCTTAATGTCCTTTGAAAGTAAAAGTTAATAATATTTCAGTAATTCATAGCCTATAGAGGTAACGTTAATGGAAGAATTGGAAGGAGCGTTTAGTCTAAAACAATTTTCTGTCATTTGTGTTTCTTGCAATGTTTGTGCTTGTAATATCGTTTTATGTTGACAGACCATGTTTTTACACCAAATATTTCAGGTAATTACTCTGGTGCTGATGCTCCGTGTAAAGGACACAATCTGGCAACTATTGAAGCAAACATAGTTTGTGTAAGAAAAATATCCATTTTTAAAACTTTATTGGATTAAGATATTGGATATATGGATTAAGTATATGTTTTAAATTACAGAAACAAAAAAGATACTAATAATTTACTTTCAATAAATTAGTCTTTACATAATTTCTGATTGCTAATTAGGCTGGCTAATTTTGAAAGTTTTCAATGTCAATATTGCTTGTGATCTTAATGTATATGTGTATTCTTTATGTTTACACTTTTGCATGATCTTCTTTTTTAGGCTATGAGGAAAAACTCTACTGTGCACACAGAGAACAGAGCTCAATGCTGCTAACTGGGGGAGCAGCTGGACAACTAGAAGAGAGAATAGTAGAACACTATTAATACAGATTCCTGGATTATTCTTCTGCAAGAACCAAGACAAGCAAAGACTGATGATGAGTGCTCTGAGCAAACACCGCAGTCAAGACGCATGAGTGACTTTACGGAGTTCTACATGTAATGTTGGGCATTTACTGTACGCAGAACTTCTAGTAATTTATGTGGATGCCATTCATTAACCTGATTTTGATGTTTTAGTTTTGAGATTAATAAAATTGTATGCTTTAACAATGTTATAGCTAAGCATTTTTGGGGGTTTTAAGAGAACATTTTGGGAACAAAAATAAACTTCCGCTAAAAACTTTATAAGAAAGTTAGGGATAATGTTTTAAAAATGTTATGATTAAACCTTTATAGAAGGTCATCACAAAACATTTTCAGAGTGCTCTTAGAGAATGTTATGCCATCTTTTAAGAGAACATTCTGGGAACAAAAAGAAAACTACTCGCTGAAAATGTTGTAAGAACGTCAGGGAATAATGTTCTAACAATGTTAGCACTAAACATATTCAGAATGTTTTTAGAGAATGTTATTAGAACTTTTAAGAGAACATTTTAGGAACAAAAAGAAAACTACCCGCTGAAAACATTATTAGAACACTGCATGGTAATGTTCTCAGAACATTTTTAGAACAAAAAAATTCTAGCTGGGATAGTCCACTTTGGAAAATGTGTAGATGTCACAGTTTAACCCCCTCAAATGTGAAACTTACACGTTTGCGTTAACACGCTCCATTGGAGAGATCTCCGGATGTTTATTCGCCTTTGCCATAACGACCTATTGGTTTTCATTAAACCGAGAAAATGGAATTTTGTTTAATTTACGATCACTGGGAAATGTTCTATTATTTAAAATGCCAAAAAAAAAAAAAAAAAAAAAAAAAAAAAAAAAACATTTATTGTTATTAGATGTCACGGTTTAAACTCAAAACCATAAATAGGGCTATACTGCCCTCTTGTGTCAAATTATATTTCTATATTTATTTTTCCAACAATTAAAACCAAATAAAAAAAAAAACCAAAAAATAGCGTTGGGCTTTAATCAAGAAGATCTGAGTTCAATTCCCATACTTGTGTTAAATTGTTGTGATTATATCAAACAAAGTGGCCTAAACAATATTTCTTCAACCCGGTTTTTTACAGTCTATGATCTAGACGCATGACTTAAATGCAGGCAGACACAGCAACAGTTGTAGGCAGGTATTTTTTTGCAACTATGCGACCTGTATCTGATTTTTTCATGACAGTCTGAACGACACAGATCCGATTTTTTCAAATGCGACCCAGGCCACTTGGGTATGTGGTCTAAATCCGATATGTATCCGATCTTTTGAAATGCGACTTCAATCTGAACGGCCAGGTCACATCCGACCCGCACGTCATTGCACGCACCTGTAGCTAGCCAATTCACTCCAACTCCAACGCGTTTCTGCACCGTTATGGGCCGCTGCAGACGTGTCTCTTCCCCAGTGTTGTGCCTGAACGCGTTCAATGAACGATAGTGCATAAACGCGTTCATATACTGTATTACTGCCTGATGAACTTTACTGTGAACACGTTCATCCTGGTGTCTGTGAACGTGCGCTCTCTGTGTCAGTAGGCTTGTTTGAGATGAGCAAATTCTGCGCAGAATCGATCACCGGTGATCAGCGCGAGATGCATGCCGGTTAGAAATGTGTCCGAGAACGGTCCGCCTGGCTCTGATGTCATGCCGACGTATGTCAAAAAACTCTCGCGAGCGCAAGGCGGAAGGGTCGGATTCTGCAGTCGCGCGCAGTTGCTCTCCACCGACTGCGCTGATCAAAAGCATGATGGGAAACGACTTGCTGACGACACAGCTTAATGCTCATTGGTTTAAACAACATGATGAAGGTAAATTCCATATTCATTAAGCTAAATTCTCCAAATCAAGGCCATGTTTTTTTTTTTTTTTTTTTTAATTGAAACTGATATATATTGTGAATCTCTTAAACGGGTTAAAAATAAGAAAGCTATAGTCAGTAACTCAAATATACTAGGCCTACTCTAAAATGTTCAAGTGAAAAATAGCTCTCATTTTATAGATGATGAAGTTTGTAAGTCTGTCTATTTAAGCTAAGCTTATTTTGATTTATTTATTTATTTTATTATTAATTTTATTCTGATGTTTATTTATTTGTCGATGTATAATAGGCCTATTTGTTTCGCGAATTGGTGCTTGTAGGTAGGCTATGTTTGTAACTTGCATTCTAATAAAAAAGTAAAATAAATAAAAATAAAAGAACAACAGATGAATTGTTCTCTTTTAAAATGTTTGATTTTAAAACTGATATCATGTTTTATGTGTATACATATATGGGTGAATAAACTCTCTGACAGTGCCATATGGGTTATATTTCATTTTTGTTAAAACAATAAACACGTCTGTATTAAAGAAAGAAAAAAAAGATTGATAAACACATATTTAACAAGTACTTTGGGTGTCTTGTTCATTATATTTATTTTTATATAAAAGCAACAGAACTTAAATCACATCCAGTTTATTAGCAACACGTGCACGAGCGTGAATCCCGTTAATCCCGCGATATCCGCCTTTGATCTCACAGGTGTCTGATTCACTGCGAGAACCGAGATCTGTCCGGCTTTATTGCGCTTTTTTCACTCCTCCCCTCACTGCAGCCGCCTACTCTCGACTACATTGCAGGCGAGGCGAGGCGCATCTCAAACAAGCCTAGTATAACTTCGTGGGTGCCAGATTTCAATAGAGCCTTCCAGACGAAAACCTGGCTAAAACACATGTATACATGCCTTAAAATGTAGCGAAAAAACACCCAATCTGGCAACACCAGCCACCAGTGTCGCACCGCGGCCGCCGGTGACAAAGCAAGGAGCGCCGAGGACGCGCACTATCAATTAAACGGGTTTTATGACGAGGTCGGTGAGGATCGGAAAAATCTTACATTTATGTGCAAACTTCGCCCGTCGATAAAATAATCGTTGTCTGTGCTTGTATATGGGCTGTGGCAATAATAATAATAAAACAAAAGCTCGCAACATATGGAAAAAAATAACTATTCCGCAAACAACCCAAACAACAAGGGACGTCGTTGACCGTTGATTACTCTTCTGCGCATGCGGGTCACTTCTGGATCATTTCACGTTCACACAGGAGATCACAAAAGGTCGCATTTAATTGGAAATGTGAACGACCTTGCAAAAAAATCGAATTTTTTCAAAAAATCGGAATTGAGCATTAAGCCCTGCAGTGTGAACGTAGCCAGTTCGCTTATGCCTCGGGCCGGCTTTGCCTCTGCATGTGAGAAACTTTGGAAGATGAAGATCTGGATTGAATAAGAATAAGTTGAATAAGAGTGAACCTGTGAGTTAAATTTAAAATAAGCCTTGAAGTGCTCTGGAATATTTTCATAATTTAAATATACCTTATAAATAAAAACACATATTTGAGTGATATTTATGTCATGTAAGTACCTGAAGATTCTGAAGACACAGTTGAAGAATGTGACTCGATGAAGTCCATCCATAAATGAAGAATGTGAATGTGAGATCGGGTTGCAATCCTGACAAAACGTTTCTGAAGAACCAAAATTCTATGAAGAAGGAAAAGAGCTTGCCCAAACTACAACATGAAAGATATGGATAAATTAAATTGAGTGTAAGAAGACAATCTGTGGCAATACGATTGCTAATCCAATTAATTATACCAATAGATTTAATTATTTTCTTGCTAACCCAGTCAATTTGTGTTTTCCAATTGAAGTTCTCGTCAACAAAAATTCCAAGGAATCTTTTTGAAACTTGGGATATCTCCACAGTCTCTGTTTTGATGTTTGAGAGGTCCTTAGACTATGATTTTTTTCCCCACTAAAATAATATATAATAATAGGAACTTTACAAGCTAATTCATGTCCAATGTTAACAAAAAAAATATATAATTTTTTTATAAAAAATTATAAATTTATTAAAAGAATTGTCACCTTCATAAAAAAAAACTTAAGGCAATTCTGAATGAGTCTTATCTCTATGCCGCAACTGATTTATAACTTTCCATGTCGTTTTAGTATCATTTGAACACCTCTTTAATTTTTCACAGAAATATTTTTTTTTTTGACGATCTAATGTATAAGTCAATTTATTACTACAAGATGTAAGCACCATGGGTAAGGGGTGTAGTATATTTGAAATATATTTTGTACAATTTATTCTTTCCTAATTTATTCTAATCATCCAGTTCATTTATAAAAAAAAAAATAAAAAAAAAATAGAATGGTTAACATTTTAATAGACATTATCTACACAAACATTGATAGACCTATAATAAATATTTATTGATGTTTACAGAATGAATATATATATATATATATATATGGCTAAATAATACAATGTTATTAAATATTTTTGTCAAAACACATTCTGTTCCTTATACACATGAAAGTAGACAAGCTTATATATAATATATACTTATTTATACAGATAAAATATGCAAAGATGCATTTTATAAATGGATAAAAAGATCCAGGTGTAGCAATCATGTTGTAAAAAAATAATAGGATGTGTATAGCTGTGTATTTTTAATAGCTCTCATTAAGCGGGTCCAGCCCACCGTGGTGTTGAATCCTCTGAATGGAAAGGTCACTATCAGTAGTTTCTTTTTAGTTGACAGTAGATTTGGTTCCAGTGAATCATTTGTTAAATTCTGAATGTTCAAACGAAAGTGCAGAATGAAAAATGAAAACATGCCTCGTTGTTAAATGCGGCTATACTCTTTAGGAGACCATAAGGTTATAACGGACCTGCCATCCAGAAGGGCAAAGAAAGGGTACAGCTTCTCACGAAAGTGTCCTGTGAAGGTGAAGATGTGTGATTTGTTCTCCGCGTTGTAGAATGAAATCTGTCCCTCCTCATAATCAATGTATATTCCCATTTTCCGGGGTACCAGCAACAGAGGCAGGGCCGTTTCAGGATTGGTGCAGGCGAAGAACTGTCGTGTGCTGCGCCACAGGACCCAATAACCATTCGATGGATTCATTTGAAAGCGGCCTTTCCTCTTTGAAGAAGCAGTTGTCACTCCAACTTTCCAATAACCATTGTTTGCAAATTCCACTTCCCAGTAATGGCGGCCACTCACGTATCCCTCCCAGCCTAAGACACAGGGCAAGCTATCAAAACGCTGAAGGCTGTATGGCAGATCTGCTTCTGATAGGCCCTCCTGAACCTTCTTGTGG